TTATCATCACCTTTCCTTAGAAATATAAACCTAAATGATCACTTGATGCATGTCCAAATACCTGTCATCCACATTCAACAAGCTGTATATGTTGTAGATCATGTCACATGGTGGCTATATTTTATTGCTTATTTTTCTTTCTTTTGTGTTGTACCGTGTCTTTTATGATATATTTTAGTGTCTATATGTAACTTATTGATACCAATGGCTATTTATTGTGAATTGTAAGTATAATAATAAAAATAAAGCATTAAAAAATGATGTACACAGTAATTAATATAGTTTGTTTTTTATCATCAAATTTACAGCACATTATGTTCACATCCCTCACTTTCTCTCAAATATCACAAAAATGTTTGTGCTCTAACAGTAGATCACTATGTTTTCTATTCCCAATTGCTGTTAAACTGATACTCCAAAATGTGGAAATATGTTTAAAGAGTGCTGACTGGAGTTGAATCAAAAGTATTACAAGCCTCTAATTATACTGTGTCACGTTACAAGTATTGCTTACATGGAAATATGACTTTGTCAGCACCACAGGTTTGCTAGCCAAATGGCTAATTAGTGTGATAGGCAGGATTGTAGGGGTAAAATCCTTGTTACTGCAAGTTATAGAATCCTCAGTTAGAGTTTGCTTAAGTGCCAGAAGTTGTTTATATAAAATGTTAAATGAAGAAAACAAATTGGTAACATCAACTGCTGACAGCACCGCTGAAAGCAGGTGGCCTGGCAGTACCAGACATACGTGCCTACTACCACGCCTCCATACTGGCATCAGCACTGCCACACTTGCTAGATCAACCACCCCCCCAGTGGGTGACATTAGAACAACACCTGATGGAACCGTACGAACTCTCACACGTGTTATGGCTCCCCAGGACACTTAGGCCACCAATGATAGATATCCCTGCACAGATCACTTTACTCCTAAAAGTCTGGGATACACACAGGAACAAGCTGAGCTCGAACCCCCGTGTCTCACTAGCCACACCAATACGTGCCCTAACATATTGCATACCCACATTCCACGCGGCCCCATGGCAAGAAAGAGGCATCACAACCCTTGCACATGCCCACACGGGTAACGCGCTCACAGATTTCAACACTGTACAACAAACATATAACTTTCCGACCTCCTCACACTTCTCTTATAGACAACTGGCATCCTTCCTACACAAACACAACACAAAGGATCTCACTAAGCACAGTTCAGGCCTACCCTTGAGCACCCTCTGGGAGGACATCTGCATAAAACGCAGACTCCCGAAGACATACAGGCCACTGTCATCCTGTTATAAAATGATCTTAGATTACACACCCCTAGCAACAGCCTCGCCGGCAACACAATGGGAGGGAGAATTGGCCATAGACCTCACCAGACAACAGTGGGAAGACCTAGTGACCTCCCCCAGGAAACTGATAAAATCAGCGACGCTCATAGAGCAACACATGAAGTTGGTGTACAGGTGGTACCTGGTCCCTGAAAAACTACACAAACTTTACCCAGCCAGCTCTCCAGAATGCTGGAGATGCACCAAACATATTGGCACAACACTACATGTCTGGTGGAGCTGCCCATTGATACAACCCTTCTGGAAAGCCATCCAGGAGGTGCTCAGGGGAATCACACTAGAAGAGCCGAAGTACGATCCTAGCACGTACCTCCTGCTTGCAATCCCCCCCAAGACACCCCAGTATATAAAGAAACTCATATACCACCTTCTACTCATAGCCCAACGAGTAATCGCAAGGGCATGGAAATCTCGCACCACTCCGCCTTTAGAATTAGTACTAGCAGAAATGGATACCCAAAGTATATACGAGAACCAATTCCATACAGTATGCCCTCCCAATGTAACAACATCAGCTACTTGGGAGAGATGGGAGAACTGGAGACGACAGCACCCGCCATAACAACTGCCTACCACACACCCCCCTATGACACAGGGCATCTGGGAGGGAGACAGGATGAGTGGCCAAGCCAAGGGATGGCGGACACTCGACAAAGCGCAGCGAGGTCAATAGAAACCCACAAAGGTATTATTACTTAGACTAGCGGATAGAAGAATAAACATATAGGTAAATATGTAACTATGTAACGTCTTGGTGTGACGGCTGGATGGAAATGCTTGATTGATGCTTACCTTCCCCCCCCCCTTCTTCTTTCTTCTGTATCCCCCCCCCATTACCCAGTTCTCATTGAACACTATGTTGAACAAAATAAAAATTGTCAAATTTAAAAAAAAAATAAAGTGAACCTACCATGTGATATTCAAATTAACATAACTCAGCCCCAAGTGCACTGAATAAATTTTATATCACAGAGATACATGATGTATTCAATGTAACATTTTTAGATATACTCACCTTACCTTCGGTCTAGCACCGTGGGTGGTACTCTTCTGTAACCAGTAATATGCCAAGCAGGGGAAGTGGTCTGCCAGGGGTGACAGGAAGGAGAGGGGTGTATAAAGCACCCCATCCCGTGAGTTACTGTTTGTACTGTTTGTAGTGTGTCAATGCAGGACCCTTCACCCCGGACTAGAAGAAAGTGAGAGGCAGCTGCAACAATTAAACAGGCATCGGGCATACACATGACTAATTGTTTAGATACATTTATATGTAAGTCACTATATATGTGTGTGTCTGTATGTGAGTGCATATATGATTGCATGTCTATGTATAAAAAGGATAAGAAAATAAAAGGTAAAGTAAGGTTAAGAAATGCATAAAAAGTAGATAGTTAAAGGACAACTAAAGGGTCAGGAAAACAAACGTATTCCTGACCCTATAGTGTTAAACCCACCATTTAGGTGGCTTGCCCCCTTAAACGTTAATAAAACTCACCTTATTTCCAGCGTTGCGCGGGAGTTGGGGCAACTGTTCAGCTAGCAGTAGTATGCAGCTGGGCCCCTTGCAGTTAGCAGGTTCAAAACAGGAATAACCATAAACTTAGATGGCCGCCCAGGTCCCAGGAGTGGACTGAGCCCCAGAACAATGAGTTTGGTTGTTCCCATTCTCAATCCCTACATGAAGAATGAAGAGGAGCCCCAAACTGGTAACATGCCTAGAGCCTGTAGGATCTTAATCCTTCTCTTAGCTTGTTGGAGAGTTCTCCTCAACCGATTAATAATTCTAAATATTCTATACAAAAAAAAAATGATATGGCTTAAAAAGGGGATAATGTAGGAGCATGAGAAGATATGACAATGAAAAATGTCCTCCATAAAACAGAAGTAGAAAATGTTGCCAGATCCACCATGTTTTATAGGACAGAGGCAGCAAATGATAAGTGCTGCTCTGCAAATTGAGGGAAATAAGTTCAAATGCAAACTTGTTTTTTTTTCAACTCAGTTAAATCTTATTTGGCACCATTCAATGTCTGCTTTAATATGTCTAGTGATCATCGTTTGTTTTTTGAGTGTTCGTTCGGGTATATATTGAGTCATTTTCCTTTTGGGTTTCAGTTGTTCAGATGCACTCAGGCAGGCTGAAATTCAGTCTACATTGTCTGTAATTTGGAGGTTGTGTTGCAAAATCCATACATAGATTAATCTTGAAAGCAATGTTCAGATTTTGCAGTACAAAGGCCCCTGGATATATTTTTTTTTGGCTAAGGATGGGGCACTTTAATGAAAAACCTGTATTTGAAAATAAAAAAGGAAAACTGAAATTATACACCATATAACATCATAGCCTCATTTTCTTGATTGAGCCCAGCAATGGCAGGATGGTTAGGGAAGGGTTAACATAAGGATACATACAAATTTGGCTCCCTGTCCAGTTTCACAGATATGCTTATCTTGCATTGAAAATAATTGGAGTATCAGGAATGGCTAGTGAGAGTTTATGGCAGAAGGAGCAAAACCTGGGGATTTACAGTAAATGCAGGATCTTTCAAAGGCGGTTCTCTTTATTTAATCTGATCAAATATTTATTTTTATATATGTATTATCATAATATGTGTATAAATCGTTACATACTAGGAGACAATCTCAGCCTGAAATGGAAGGATACACAGATCTACCAATGTGCTGGATAGCCCATGTTCACACATACAGAGTTTTTCGCTAAAGTGAAAATACAAACTTTCAAATTTTAGGCCAAAGTAGCTAAACTTGAAAGCATAGCTGACAGATGATTTTTTTAAATTTGGAATTAAATTTGAAAATTCACTTTGAATTCTTTAGTGAATAAACCAGTAAGTTTTTTTTAGTGACCTGATGGAAATATGATAACACAATGCCATTGGTCCTTAAAGGAATACAAACATGGGCCCAGCCTCCCTCTCCACGGAGGCAAAAGGGTTAAAACGTATGGTTTCTCCAACACTGCGCCGGACTGGTCTTGACGCACCTGGCCCTGCCTCCATGGCTGAGATCATCAGTTTTGATGATCTCCGCCAATAAAAATTTTTCCCATAGGAAAGCATCCGGACACTATTGCGCATGTACGGAAAAACTCTGCGCCTATCAGAACCTCTTCAAAAAATCAATGCATCTTTATGGGGAGCATTCACGCTGAAGATAGGCGATGCACACTGCCTCTAATAAGGTCTGAGTGACTGTCACTAGTTTTTTGTAACTAGGCAGCCAGATATGTTTACAGTGCTAAGCCTGCAGCCACAGGCTATAGACACCACAACCACTATATTATGCTGAAGTGGTTATGGTGACTATAGTGTCGCTCTAAGCATTTGAGAGAGGCAACATTTAGGTAACAATGTGTGTTTCTCATCTCCCATGTCTGTCCCACACATGTCCGTGTCAGTGCTGAGTACACCATGGTGACACTATCCACGCAGAGAGCGAGCCGTCTGCCCAAATCAAACATGGCGGCAGCGCACCGAGCCCACGGGCTTACTGTGGTAAGAGCAGCGCTTGACCGCCGGGCGGTTTTTTTTATTTATAGCCGCATCCAGTGCACCGTGCAGCTATCCGTGAGACCTGCGGTCAGTCTGCCGGCCCGCCAGGCAGCGGCTGTACAGGCAGGGTACGGGCTGGGTACGGGCTGAGTGAGTGCGGACGGGGGAAGGAGGAGGGAGGGAGGACACCGGAAGTTCCGCCCCGCCGCAGCGGAAGTGTGCTCGGGCGCTGGGAAGCCGGTCGGTGAGACTTTTCTCGATAGATTGAGAAAGTGCTGTGAGAGCAACATGGCGAACCCGAGCCCGGCCAGCAAGCCCTCCAACCCCGGCAACCCCAGGGTGTTCTTCGATGTGGAGGTGGGAGGGGAGTACGGTAAGTGTGAGCCGTGCAGGGTGAGTGGCCATTCATACTCGGAGTGCGCTCAGTCATTGCGAGGCCGGCCGGCTGGCCGGGGATCCCATCAATGGACCCTCACATCCCATGTGTTACACACTGTGTGTGAGGACAAGCAGACACTGCATCTCTTAATAACCTCTATACTGGGCACACTGCACATTGGAACAACGTGGCTACCCACTAAATAGAACATTGAGGCAAATTTCAGATCAAAATAGCCAAACTGGAAATATGTATTTAAAAAAATAAATAAAATGTTTTTTGTTAACTATGCTTTCCAGTTAGCCATTCTGGCCTTAAAGGTAAACTATAGTGCCAGGGAAACAAAGTTGTATTCCTAGCGCTAATTTGCTCGCCCAGTATCAGAAAATCTTCCAAATCTCTGATAGTCCTGTATAAAAGTTACACAAGATATTTTCACCTGTTATTTTACATCTACATCTCTGGACTAATATGCAGGGATGTATTTACTGCAAGGCAAACAAGGCATTTGCCTAGGGCGGCACTTTCGGCAGGGCGGGGAACGCCACCCCAGGCTCCTAGACAAATGCCTTGTTTGCCTTGTGTTCTGGGGCTGTCCACCTTACTGTGAGTGAGTGTAGTTGTCAGTGTGTGTCTGTGCGAGTGAAAGTGTGTGTCTTTCAGTGAGAATGGTTGGTTGTGAGTGTATCAGTGTGTGTATGTCATTTTATGTGTATCTGAGAGTGTGTGCCTGTCAGTAAGTGGGTTTGTCAGTGTGTCTGTCAGTAAAAAAGTGTGTGGTTAAACAGTGTGTGCCAATGATTGTGCATATCAGTTCATGTATCAATGAGGGCATGTGTCTGTCAGTCAAAAAAGTGGCCTTGACATGAATTGCTGGGGCAAATTTAGATTTTGGGGGTGCCTGAAATTAGTTGTGCCTAGGGCAGCACAAATCCAAAATACACCACTCCTAATATGGATATAAATACAGTGGTGTATCCTGGTTTTGTGCTGCCCTAGGTATCACAAAACTCTGGCACACCCTCACTGCCCCACCTTCTAAATACACATACACACTCACTGACAGAAATACACACACTCACTGACAGAAATACACACACTCACTGACAGAAATACACACACTCACACTGACAGAAATACACACACTCACACTGACAGAAATACACACACACACACTCACACTGACAGAAATATACACACTCACACTGACAGAAATATACACACTCACACTGACAGAAATATACACACTCACACTGACAGAAATATACACACACACACACACTCACACTGACAGAAATATACACACACTCACACTCACACAAATATACACACACACACTCACATAAATATATACACACACACACACACACTCACACAAATATACACACACACTCTCACAGAAATATACACACACACTCTCACAGAAATATACACACACACACTCACAGAAATATATACACACACACACTCACAGAAATATACACACACTCACACTGACAGAAATATACACACACACACACTCACACTGACAGAAATATACACATACACACACACACACACACACACAAATTGCTGGGCAAATTTAGATTTTGTGGGTGCCTGAAATTAGTTGTGCCTAGGGCAGCACAAATCCAAAATACACCACTGCTAATATGGATATAAATACAGTGGTGTATCCTGGTTTTGTGCTGCCCTAGGTATCACAAAACTCTGGCACACCCTCACTGCCCCACCTTCTAAATACACACACACACACACTGACAGAAATACACACACACACACACACACATACACACTCACTGACAGAAATACACACACTCACTGACAGAAATACACACACTCACTGACAGAAATACACACACTCACTGACAGAAATACACACACTCACTGACAGAAATACACACACTCACTGACAGAAATACACACACTCACTGACAGAAATACACACACTCACTGACAGAAATACACACACACACTGACAGAAATACACACACACACACTGACAGAAATACACACACACACACACTGACAGAAATACACACACACACTGACGGAAATACACACACACACACTGACGAAATACACACACACACACACTGACAGAAATACACACACACACACACACACTGATGAAATACACACACACACACACACACACTGACGAAATACACACACACACACACACTGACAAATACACACACACGCGACGGAAATACACACACACACACACACACACTGGGCAAAATACACACACACACACACACGGCAAGAAATACACACACACACACACACACACTGACAGAAATACACACACACACACACACACACACACACACACACACACACACACACACACACACTGACGAAATACGCACACACACACACTGACAGAAATACACACACACACCACGCGACAGAAATACACACACACACACACTGACGAAATACACACACACGCAGCCAGAAATACACACACACTGACAGATACACACACACACACACACACTGACAGAAATACACACACACACACACACACACACACACACACACACACACACTGACAAATACACACACACACACACACACACACTGACAGAAATACACACACACACACACTGACAGAAATACACACACAACACACACACATTTAACAGACGGAATTTAGATTTGGGGATGCGAGGTGGTTGTGCCTAAGGCGGCACAAATCCAAGAAATACCACTGCTGGATGCCAAAACTACGGTGGTGTATCCTGTTTATTAACGCCTAGGTATAAAAACTCATCCCCTCCCCTGCCCCACCTTCTAAATACACATGCACTCACTGACAGAAATACACATGCACACTCACTGACAGAAATACACATGCACACTCACTGACAGAAATACACATGCACACTCACTGACAGAAATACACATGCACACTCACTGACAGAAATACACATGCACACTCACTGACAGAAATGCACACTCACTGACAGAAATGCACACTCACTGACAGAAATGCACACTCACTGACAGAAATGCACACTCACTGACAGAAATGCACACTCACTGACAGAAATGCACACTCACTGACAGAAATGCACACTCACTGACAGAAATGCACACTCACTGACAGAAATACACACGCACGCACAGAAATACACACGCACGCACACACAGAAATACACACAGAAATATACACACACACACATTTCTGGGCAAATTTAGATTTTGGGGGTGCCCGAAATTAGTTGTGCCTAGGGCAGCACAAATCCAAAATACACCACTGCTAATATGGATATAAATACAGTGGTGTATCCTGGTTTTGTGCTGCCCTAGGTATCACAAAACTCTGGCACCCCCTCCCCTGCCCCACCTTCTAAATACACATGCACACTCACTGCCAGAAATACACATGCACACTCACTGCCAGAAATACACATGCACACTCACTGCCAGAAATACACATGCACACTCACTGCCAGAAATACACATGCACACTCACTGCCAGAAATACACATGCACACTCACTGCCAGAAATACACATGCACACTCACTGCCAGAAATACACATGCACACTCACTGCCAGAAATACACATGCACACTCACTGCCAGAAATACACATGCACACTGACTGGCTGGCACGCACGCATTGACTGGCTGGCACGCACGCATCGACTGGCTGGCACGCACGCACTGACTGGCTACGCTGGCACGCGACGCACTGACTGGCTGGCACGCACTGACTGGCATAGCACGCACTGACCGGCTGGCACGCATCGACCGGCTGGCACGCACTGACTGGCTGGCACGCACTGACTGGCTGCACGCACTGACCGGCTGGCACGCACTGACTGGCTGGCACGCGACTGGCTGGCACGCACGCACTGGCTGGCACGCACGCACTGGCTGGCACGCGACGCACTGGCTGGCACGCACGACTGGCTGGCACGCCACGCACTGGCCGCACGCACGCATCACTGGCTGGCACGCACGCATCTCGACTGGCTGGCAACACGCATCGACTGGCTGCACGCACGCACTGACTGGCTGACACACGCACGCGACTGACTGGCTGACACGCGACGCACTGACTGGTTGACACGACGCGACTGACTGGCTTGACACGCACTACACTGACTGGCTGGACACGCGACGCACTGACTGGCTGACACGCGACGCACTGACTGGCCGGACACGCGACGCACTGACTGGCTGACACGCACGCATCACTGACTGGCTGACACGCGACGCATCGGACTGGCTGACACGCGACGCACTGACTGGCTGACACGACGCGACTGACTGGGGCTGACACGCACGCACTGACTGGCCGGCACGCGACTGATCGGGCTGACACGCGACGCACTGACTGGCTGGACACGCGACGCACTGGCTGACATCACGCGACGCACTGACTGACACGCGACGCACTGACCGACACGCACGCACTGACCGACACGCGACGCACTGACCGACACGCGACGACTGACCGGGCACGCGACGCACTGACCGGACACGCACGCACTGACTGGCACGCACGCGACTGACGGGTACCTGACGCGACTGACCGGCACGACGCACTGACTGGCACGCACGCGACTGACTGGCACGCACGCGACTGACCGACACGCGACGCGACTGACTGACACACGCACGCACTGACTGACACGCTACTCACTGACCGACACGCGACGCGACCACCGACACGCGACTGACTGGCACGACGCATCGACTGGCACGCACGCACTGACCGGCACGCACGCGACTGACTGGCACGCACGCACTGACTGGCACGCACGCACTGACTGGCACGCACTGACTGGCACGCACGCACTGGCTGGCTGGCACGCACGCACTGGCTGGCTGGCACGCACTGGCTGGCACGCACGCACTGGCTGGCACGCACGCACGCACTGGCTGGCACGCACGCACTGGCTGACTGGCACGCACGCACTGGCTGGCTGGCACGCACGCACTGGCTGGCTGGCACGCACTGGCTGGCACGCACGCACTGGCTGGCACGCACGCACGCACTGGCTGGCACGCACGCACTGGCTGACTGGCACGCACGCACTGGCTGACTGGCACGCACGCACTGACTGACTGGCACGCACTGACTGACTGGCACGCACGCACTGGCACGCACGCACTGACTGACACGCACGCACGCACTGACTGACTGGCACGCACGCACGCACTGACTGACTGGCACGCACGCACTGACTGACTGGCACGCACTGACTGGCACGCACTGATGTATAGTTTCAACACACGGCACAGTGTTTTCCTACCATGCGCAATATCCTCGTAGGAAGCATTGGATTGGCTGAAATCAGCCATGGTGGCGGAGCCAGCAATGAGGAGACCTATGCTGCGCTGGAAAAAGGTGAGTAAAATCACCTTTTTAATTGGGGATGAGAGGGGCCGGCGATTACAAAACCATAGTGTCAGAAATACATGTTTGTATTCCTAACACTGTAGTGTTACTTAAAGTAGGAATTAAATGGGTTCTCCAAAAAAATCATATTTAGTAGATGTATCACCAATGAAAATATGCATTAATTTAATTGTGCATTTGTTTCATTTGGATTCATATGTAGCAACAGCTTGCAAAAGCTGCAGATCTTTTGTTTAAAGCCTTTTCAAGCCCTCCCCTTGAAGCCCAGACTTAATGTAGCTGTCCACTGAGCTAAGAATCTTAGTTTACAGAATAGATTGTCTGACTGCCAGGAGGTTTAACAAGGTTGAAGAGAAACTCCAACCACCAGGACCACTTAAAGTGGCACTGTCACTGTCTAGGGACTTTACGTATTTGCCAAGACCCTGGCAATGACATCACTGCTGGTGGTCTGGGAGCCCAAATGAGGTGGGCAGGCTAAGATGACTATTACTTACCTGAACCTGTTTCTTGTGGGTACTGCCACCTTCCTTCGAGTCCTCTTCAGAGCGCCAGGAGCAAGTGTCATTGCTGTACTCTTGACATTGCATGAAAGTACAGCATTGAGGTCTATGGAGGATCCCTCAAGACCGTGGAATCCTCCATAGATAAAGCGAATTCCATGCAGCTGACCGCTGTGGGGGAGGGGTTTTTGATTTGACACTATTTAATGGCCAGTGCCTAGAAGTGTCAGGAGTAGGAGAAATACTGAGACAAAGTAGTCCCTATTTTTTTTAAAATCCTATTTCTCTCTCTCTTTATAATTTTTCAAGAAATGTTTCACTAATTACGTATTTGTCTTTTTCGGTCTGTTTCCCTATCGTTCTATATTAATCTGTTATCTATTTTATTTTAATTTCAATGTCTTTTCAACATCTCTCTCTCTTCTTACAAGGGCTTTCCCAAAATAATTAGATGTATAGTGACAACTGCTCTCTTTAGAGCTTCTCTGTCATGGGCTGCCTGAGAATGCACAGGCACATGAATTCATACTGCTACATGTTGGATCAAAAAGCAAACAGAGAGCTGGGTGGGGAGATCTGAGAACTTTGCCACCAGTGCATAATGTACAGACCTCCTAAATACAATTGATGCAGGTGTTGTTAATGCTGACTGCTCATTCCCATATAGTAGGTGTTACTTGCGCAATACTGGCTCCCTGTGGCGCACACAGTGATTTGCTGGGCATGAGTAAATCATAAGGACATATGTCTTTTCTTCTACGGGCCATACAATTTAGCTCTAGGTGACTGCATCTCACTAAGAACCAATTCCAGTTTGGTTTGGGAGTGTGCCATTAGTGGCAGTAGTATTTTCATCTGGAAGACAGTTATTCATGATATCATCTGACACCAAAAGTTTGCCACAGTAATTTGTAACTGACTATTAAAATACACAGGGTAAGAAATATGTCCTGGCACTGGTAGCAGTATTAAACAGTGGAGGGGAGGGATGGAATTGCTTTTGCCAACATGTCTGAAATATTTGGTAGTGATTACCCCTCGCCCTTCATTGCTACGAAATAGTACTTCAAAGCTTACAGGAAATATGTGTGGGTTGGCCAGTCTTTCGAATCAGTTAAAATGAATAGGATATTCATTCTTATGACAGCGTGACTGTTTCTTTCATTATTTTATTATTCAGTTTGAAACATTTATGGGTGTTTATGAAATCTAGTTGTATAATAACTAGCAGGTGTATTACATAAATTTCAACTGTGACTTTAATTCTTCTCTCAAACTAGTATGATTTTTACCATACTCCTTTTAAGTAGTGAATTGATAAGAATGGAAGGACCAATGTTAAAGTAATACATTTCCAAAGAAACTTGTTTGCATAAAAAACAGTTTTTGTCCTTTCCAGCTGGCCGTGTTGTCTTAGAACTGTTTGCCGATGTTGTACCCAAAACTGCAGAGAATTTCCGAGCTCTGTGTACAGGGGAGAAAGGTATAGGACAAACAACTGGAAAACCCCTGCATTTTAAAGGCTGTCCTTTTCATAGAAGTAAGTTATGATTTTATTTATTTATGTATATTTTAAAAATATATATGTTTGTAGACATTTTGTTTCCCTTGGTGTGTGTGTGTGTGTGTGTGTGTGTGTGTGTGTGTGTGTATATAATGCAGTCTTAAAAATATTAATCAGCTTTTACAGATCAGTGATATTTCAGATCGACTGCCAACATTTTTCTAGGTCCATAGAAAGACCTCGAAATAAACTTGTGGATATTTATTTGAATAATCTTAATGCGTCTAGATAGTTTTGTTGTTTATAGATCACCATCTTAAATTAACTGTTTGTCACTGATTTACTAGTTATCAAGAAATTCATGATCCAAGGTGGGGATTTCTCAAATCAAAATGGAACTGGTGGAGAGAGTATATATGGAGAAAAATTTGAAGATGAAAACTTCAATTACAAGGTAACATGAAATTAATTTAACATATTTTTAAAGCACTATTGCAGGTTTGATGCCGCTGCAAACTCACTGATCAACTATCTACCATTTAGGATTTAAATGACTTTTATTTCTGTCTATGCAGCCCTTCCTGCATGAGACTTACAGCACAGTGTGTTTATTTTAGTTATTTCCTGTTCTGTTAATTGAAATGTAATCATATACTGGAGGCTGTTTCTCGCTGTAGCAGGCTATTAACAGAGCAGGAGATAAAACTGATACATTTATAATGGAAGTAAAAAAAATTGTTAGACTCTCTTTTTCGGAAATTTGTAGGGTAGCTGTGTGGGTCTTTGCTAGGGTAGGTGTGACAAGTACTGCAGAAACCGGAACAAAAATGATTTGGCAGAAATAACAGAATTGAGAAGTGAGATTGCAAGGGCATGATCTATACACAGATTACTTCATTAAGATAACGTTCTTTTGGTGCTTAGTGTCCATTTAAGTTGTATGCATTGTCTGTTGTTTACCTGTACACCAATGATGGCTAACCTTGCTTTGCACATTTTTTTAACTTAATTTCCCATGTTGCTCAACAAGCCTATTGTTCATCAGCTTGCTAATAAAGTCCTTACATTAACATTAATAATCCCCAAATGAAAAACTCACTTCACCTCCAGTCCAACACCGCCATGTCTTCACCTTTGTTGGTGTTACTTTTATGTAACACTTGTTCTCGTTTTTTTGGGGGGGTTTTTTCCGCTTGTTTCTTTTTGGGGGTGAATTTGCCCTGCCTGGTGATGCTTCCACAAGCAGGGTAAACCTCTATAATGCTGGCTTCATGGTCAGCATGCTGATGTCTGATCAGAGTGAATTCAGGCACTCTGTTCCTATGCTTCCTAGTCATGCATTGCTAGGGAGTTACCATGGCAGCCACAAAGCATGCGCTATGAATTAATATGCTTGGAGAGCAGGAGGACCATCTGTGGGAGTCTGCTGAAGAATTGACTGACCTGTGTGAGAGAGACATATTTTAAATAGGGTTTTCTTTCAATCTGTACATTTACTAGCACAATCTATAGATTAAATGTTCTGCTCTTTTCCAAGAAAATAAGTGGTAGGTACCATGACAGATACTTCTGCATCAGGATATGTTGCTTTTCTTAAATTGTATTGTCATATCAAACGTAAGGAACTGATTGCGAAATTCAACATTATGGATGTGTGTGTGCGCGCTTGATTTCTCTCCCCTCTGTTGTATTTTCTTCACCTTTCAAGCATGCAACCAATACCCAGAAAATCACCCCCTCCCGGTTTTTAAAAAAAAAAAAAAAAAAGCCCCAACACACAATCTAACTACTGCCCTATTACAATTTCCCTTCAAAGCCCCTGAGAAAGTTTTGTATACAACATGAATTTCCCCGAATCTGACTTTCTATTTGAGCTACTTCAGTCTGGATTTTTCACTGGTCACTATGTCCAAACAGCCTTGACCACAGTATACAGTGATTTAATTTCTTCAAAATCCAATGGTCACTACTCCCTTCTAATTCTTCTTGACCTCTCTGCTTCTTTCAAAACGGTTGATCATCCGTTTCCTCGTTTTTATCTATCACAACTTCTGTATATGAGACTCTGCTCTTTTCTGGTCCTCCTATCTCTCCCAGCGCTCTTTTAGTGTCTTTTCTTCTTCCTCACCTCAGAAACGCCTCTCTGTGTTCCCCAAGGTTCTCTTCCTGTTCTCAATCTACACTGCCACCCTTCGTAAACTAATCTATTCCTTTAGGTTCAAACATGAGTCCTAAGCTGATGATGCACAAATCTGTCTTTGCCTGATCTTTTTTCATCCCTCTTAAATTGTCTCTAGCTGCCCCTGCTGTTTCTAACTGGAGGACAGCTCACTTTAAAATACCCAATTTCTTCAAAACTTCTCATATTTCTTCCTTCAAACACTACAACTTCTGTGTCTGTCTCTATCCATGTTAACAGCACTACCATCAGCTCTACCTCACAGGCACATTGTCTTGTAATTCTCTTTGATTCCAAGTTCTCCTTCACCCTGTACAACCAGTCAATCACCAAATTCTGCTGCTGCTTTTGCAAATGCATGTGTATATATTTTATTTATTTTTCTCTTGAAAGACCCTTTATACTCTGTAGCCATCCTTTAGTATTTAAATACTGTGAATCATTTTAATTGATTATTCTAAATCGAGGCTGGTTGTCCCAATAGGTATCACAATATCAAAGCCTGAGGGTGCACCATCACTGTAACATATTGTTACATTTTAACCACTCTCAATAGACAGCATAATTGTAACCCTTTCTTACTCTTCAAGGTATATACTATATAGCCAAGGGAAAAATAAATTACACCCTCCTTTGAATTTGATGGTTTTACCTATCAGGGCATAACAATCATCTGTTCCTTAGCAGGTGTTAAAACTAGGTAAATACAATCTCAGATTAAAACAGCACATTACACTGTCATGTTTTATTTAACAAACATAATGCCAAAATGAGAAGCCATGTATGAAAAACAAAGTACACATTTACTGCTTCAATATTGGAATGAGGAGGCTAAGTAGCAGACAGGTGCTGCTAATAAAATTATCTTGATTGATCATCTCTATAAAAGCCGAGTTTTAGCAGTTTGCTGGTCTGGAACATTCAGGTGCGTGTCAACACAATGCCAAGGAGGAATGACATCAGCAATAATCTTAGAGCAGCAATTGTTGCTGCCCATCAAGCTGAGAAGAGTTGTAAGGCAATTAAAAACAATTTAAAATACATGAGTACAGTAAGAAAGATCATTCCAGAGTGGGTTGCCACTAGAAAGACTCTTCTCTCTAAAAAGAACATGGTAGCATGGATTTGGCTTGCAAAGTTGCATCTGAACAAACCACAAGACTTCTGGAACAATGTCCTTTGGACAGACGAGACCAAGGTGGAGATGTTTGGTCATATTGCACAGCACCATGTTTGGTGAAAACCAAACACAGCATATCAGCACAGTGGTGAAGGCGTAATTATTTGGGCTTGTTTTGCAGGACCAGCACCTGGGAACCTTGCAGTCATTGAGTCGACCATGAACTCCTCTGTATACCAAAGTATTCTCCATTTGGCCATTTGTGTGACAGCTCAAGCTTGAACAAAATTGGGTCTTACAACAGGACAATGATCCCAAGAACACGAGCAAATCTAAAACGGAATGCCTGAAAAAGAAGACTCAAGGCATTGCAACGGCTCAGTAAAACTCCAAACCTCCATCCAATTGAAATGCTGCAGGACCTTAAGAGAGCTGTGCATAAACAAATGCCGGCAAACCTGAAGCAACGTTGTAAAGAAAAGTGGCCCAAAATTCCTCCACAATGATGTTAGAGACTAATAAAGTCATACAGACAATGATTACTTAACATTATTGCTGCTAAAGGTGGTTCTAGAAGCAATCATAAGTCGTACTTTGTTTTTCACACATGGCTTCTCCATTTTTGCTTTCTTTGTTAAATAACTCATGACACAGTGTAATATGTCACGTGGTGTTCATCTGAGGTTGTATTTTTCTAATTTTAAGACCTGCTTAGGAACAGATGATTATGTCCTATATGTAAATCCATAGAATTCAAAGAGGGTGTACTTCCCCATGACTGTACAATTATTTTGTGGATAAAAGGGAACAGCTTATTTCCAGGTAAGGTTAGTACACTTTTGTGTTAATTACACGTCTATATTTTTGCCTTTTGATTCAATTATTGGGGTAATCCCTGTTCTCTTTTTGGCACAACTTGTTCCGATGGTTAGTTTCTTACTTTCTTAGCAATTTTTTCTTGAAATTATTGTTCTATCTGACTCTCACCTCCTTTTAATAATTCTGTAAAACTTCACTGTTCCTACCAAACGTCCGTCCCTGCCCCATTAGACTCTCACCCAGTCTCTCTTAATAAAAATAAACATAAAAGAAGGCTTTAAGAAGGCTTCCTCTCCTGCCACTGCATCAGCCAAAAGTCTTCATTATATACTTTCTGTAGCAGCTCACTTTTTCCCTCATATATGAAACACATCGTACCGTTACCACTTGTGTAATTTTTACCATCAGCACCTTATGTTCCTATACATCAACTTGTTTTGTTGCAACTAGTTTGTTTGTTAGTCCACCTTTTGTACAGAAAAAAAACCAACAAAACCAAGTAAAATAGGCGCTAAACAGATACAATAAAATAGATTAGAGGTAAGAAAGCTGCACCGTACAGTGTATCAATTAAGGTCCATATATTATAAAGTGCAATAGTGCACGAATTGTGGCACTTATATTGCATTGTGTTTGCACTAAAGTACTATTGCACTTTATAATATATGCACCTCAATTGATTGTGTTTTAAGGGCATGTTGCAATTTTCACTAATATTGTCTTAAAGACACAGCGCACCTTAACTTTCGTTTTACACCTTTTGTACAGGGCTGTGGAACTTGTTGGCACTTTATGAATAATATGTTATTACCGTAATAGTTTTAACTAATGATTGACTTGGTAAATCTTTACATGTTAATTGGGTTGAAACTTCTTATGCAACACAAACATGATGTACCCAGGTTTTGCTTCTTTAACATCCCCCTTCCTTTTTGATAAACTGAAACCCTCCATAAAACTAATTCTATTTAGGTTGATCATTTGACAGACACTCGGTTAAACTGGAGTGACCGTACTTTTATTTGAAGCTGATGATACCGCTTGTTAAAACACTCTTTTTTTAAATATATTTTATATTTCTATATACCTGCAGCATGACAAAGAGGGTTTGCTTAGTATGGCCAATGCTGGTCCAAATACTAATGGCTCTCAGTTTTTCATCACAACTGTGCCCACCCCCCATTTGGATGGGAAACACGTGGTATTTGGTCAAGTGCTGAAAGGATATGGCATTGTTAAAATGTTGGAAAACATTGAATCGAAGGAAGAAAAACCAGTGAAGGTAAGTTATTGTACAGGTGTAACATTATATTAGCTTTATGAAGCAATTGTATAAACTCACTTGCTGTTCTCATTTCTCATCTTCATATGCTAACTATAAAGAGAGACCATAGTAGACCATAGTTGGAAGTGTAGAAGAAACAGCTTGATTTCCAATGTAATACAATGTATTTTTGTTCTATATATAATAAAAAAAGTATGTGTGTGTGTGTGTGTATATATGTATGTATGTATGTGTGTGTATATATATATATACACTTTATTTTTCCCCTATACAATTCCTTCACTGTAAAGCTATGCATTAAAATACACCTAAGCTGACTCTGGGCTACAACAACCATGCCGCTGCTTTCGTTGGTAATGTAGTTATTGCATTAAAGGAAAATTATAGGCACCCAGAACCACTTAATTCCAATGAAGTGGTCTGGGTGTCATGTTCTCTCTGCATTGACACTGCAGCTGAAAACAGACAGTAATGTTTTTATTGCAGAGTTTAAATGTCTCTAGTTATAGAACCACTAAAGGCACGTCCAATGAAATAGCAAGTTATCGTTATAAGATGGTCTCTGAGAAAGTGTTTATAGAAATCTTAAAATTAAACTCCATATATTTGTATTGTAGTTTTGTTATTGATTTGTGAATCTTTTTGAACAGTACATTTGCAAGCTGCAATAGGCATGTTGACTTAGTCATCTTGTGTAGTGACAGTCAGTATAGGCATTAATTTTGTTCTAGTTTGAAACAAATGTGATTGCAGATCCTTTGACCTGTCAAATGCATGTTCTGCAAACAGAATTTCCCCCTTTTTTCCACTTGCAGCCCTGTGTTATATCAGAGTGTGGTGAACTGAAAGATGGGGATGATTGTGTGATACCGCCATTGGATGGATCTGGTGACACCCATCCTGACTTCCCAGAGGACTCCGATGTTGAATTAAATGATGTAAGTTCATGGAATCAGATTCCATTTTCATGTACTTGTCCTATTTGTGTTTGCAAAATATTGATTAATAAAATATGTAGTTATTTTGCAACCTGCTTGACTTACTGTCAAGGCTATTCACTGAAAGGTGACTTGTCAGAAATTCAAAGTGAATATCAAATTTTAGGTTACTGTACCCAAATAAAAAAAATAAAATTAAAATAAATCTCTAATTCAGCTATTTTCAGCTTGGCTCTTGAGATTCACTTATATTTCCTGATGTTTTACACTTTGAATAATCTTGTCTGTATAAAGATGTAGTAAACCTAAACCTATGAAGTGTTATGCCTGTACAGGATATAACCTCTATTTTAAAGTGTTTTTACACTTTAAATTTTCATTAAATGTTTGTATTTTAGGTATCCAAAAAAAAGTTACCTGTTTGAATTAACTAAATTGCCCACCAAGCAGTTTTGTTTTAACCTGTAGTATTTCTCCTCTAATATCAGGTTGGGAGAATTACCTCCATTGCTGAGGACGTAAAGAGCATTGGAAATAACTTTTTCAAATCTCAAAACTGGGAGATGGCAACAAAGAAATACAACAAGGCCCTAAGGTACAAATTATACTGCTGCAAAAATAAAACACAAAACATCATATATGTACATTGCTGGTACCATTAATTTAAATAAAATCTAGAACTACCACATTTTACTTAATAAAAGTCATAATCTGTACCATTTTCAGACAAACTGCATCAATATAGTGTGTTAAAACTGATAGGCCTGATGAATCTTTTTGTGAAAAGCAAAAAATTGACAGAATAAGCTCAATTGATATTGATGAAGTCTGTGGAGTGCATTTTTTTTTCTTGCAGACTGTATGAAAGCCAAGTTAGCCTCTGGCATATTTTACATTTCATTCTTAGAGTTCAGGACTCAGGGAATCCATGATATCCTAGTAAGAGAGAAAACATTTCCTAGGCTGAAAATAGCTGCCCTGTATAAAACTTCATCTCCACAGCTGAATGTTGTTCTTTTTTTTTTAAATGACGGTTACTGTAATATTTGAAGCAGTCTTTGGCAGTGGTGATGTAATCGTTTGGTTTTCTCTATTTTAACAGATATGTTGAAAGCTGCAAAGATGTGACAGGTGATGATAATATAGCAAAATTAAATCCAATAGCTGTGAGCTGTAACCTGAATATTGCTGCCTGTAAACTCAAGATATCAGACTTTAGAGCTGCAATTGAAAGCTGCGATGAGGTAAAATACTAGTATGAAAATAGACCTATGCAATGCAGACCTTTTTTGTTGTTTTGGATTGAGAAATGCTCAAATTAATCTATGCACAAAGTAAAGACTACAGATGCTCAACTGAGAGGAAGCAGTGCTCAGTACATTTCACCCAGGAATTTGTTAGTACCCAGAAAATATTACCCATCGGGCCATTTAAGTAATCCACGCTGGAAAACTGTTGTGCAGTACATTATTTTGGTACCAATGTCACTGAAGTGGTCATGGTGCGTGCTTGGAAGTAACCCTTTAAACTGGAGCTTCAAGAGAAATAGAGACATGTAGTTGCACATTGCCGCAATTCTTTTGCGAGTTTATTTTCAATTATTTGAGATAAGCTTGGGCATGTATATAAGAGCTGCACAGAACATATTTTTTAAAATGCAATTTTTGCATTTGGTGGTTAGGGGGTGTGTTCTTTTTTCCATTCTGTTCCAAATAAATAAAATGGCATGCCCGTGAACAGCATTGTAAATCGAGAAAAGGGCAGGGGTCTGAAATGCTTGTACCTTGTACCTTCTTTTACACTTAGGTTCATTGACTAGTTGACCTATGGCCACTGGAGAAATTAAGGTTTTATTTGCACCCTGCAGAACTTTTTGGTGCTGCAGTAACCACATCCTGAATCCTACTTCATCCATTTATTTTTGGTGAAGAGCGCATCAATGGAGAAGTTGATGAAGTGGGCTGACGTTGAAGTAAAAAAAAAAAGGATTTTATTTTATAATTAAAATGCATTCTCTTTTTGATATCTTTAAAAGAAGTTGACAAAGAGTGAAATAAACATGTAATCTACTAAATATGTGGATGACACCGACAATTTTAAGCAGGTGAACTTTTAAGCTCATGTTGTACTATCAAAATCAATGATAAATGTATAGTTTTGAAAAATGCGTAGAGATCAATCTCTTCCCTGCCATGGAAGCCAGAGGTGAACTGGATGACCATGTAGTCTGCCACTATGACTTCAAGGCACCGCAAAACTCTTGAAGGGTTAGCATACTTGGGGATTTTTTCCAATTCTGCTATTTTAGCCTTAAATTCGAAATTCACTTTGAATTCCCGGTAATTCTTTTTCTAGTTTGGTACCATTGAAGGGAAACTTGGGTTACGAGAACAACTACAGCTTAATGTAGTTGTTCTGGTGTCTCTTGCCTGTCCCTGCAGACCTTTTGCTGTAAACACTGCCTTTTCCGAGAGGCAGTGTTTACATTGCTGATTATTAACATCTCTAGTGGCAGTCAGGGCCGCTAGATGTCTTTCCTGGGTCAGTGCTACACAGCCACTGAGTTTAACGTCTCCACGCTCTGGATGGAAATGCTGATTTACTGCAGCTCTATGAAGAGATGCTGATTGGCGCAGGGCTGTTTTTCAGTGTGCATGCGCAATAGCTCCAAATGCTGAGATTGTCAGAACAGAGATGGGGCCACCTATGGCAAGATCGGTGCAGCATGGGAGAAAAAGGTGAATAAAATGACCTCTTTAAGAAAGTGGGCCAAGGACCTAAATAGTTATTTTACCACTAGTGTCGGGAATACATGTTAGTACTCCTGGAAATGTCGGTACCATACTTTTTTGATTTCAAAAGGTCAAAAAGAAAATGTGAACATTTTAAATTATCCATATGTTAACATTCCGCCTATACAGTTGGTTAGAGGAATTCCTATCTCCTGTGAAGTGGCACTGCTGTTAGGTAATTGAACCCAGGTCCACATAGCTCTTTAGTGTGAGCATCAGTATTCATTTTGTCGACTAACCATTTTAGTCGACTAAAATTTAAACTAGACGAAACCTAAAACAATTCAGATGACTAAAATACGACAAAACTAAAATGGCATTTAAGTCAAGACTGACTAAAACCAAATTAAAATTTTCTGCAAAATTTAACACTGCACAGTGGGGATGTGGAAGGGGCAAAAGAGACAGACCCAGGACTTGGGAGAGAGACACTTAGAAGGGGTGGGGAAAGGACAAAAGAGACAGAGGCTTTAACTAAACTAAAAAAATCTACTAGAGATTTAGTAGACTAAAACCTACTGCAGATTTAGTTGACTAAAACAGTTCAGATGACTAAAATGGCAGTCTATTCCCCAGGCAATCAGTATTGGCTTGGGCTGCTGTCATATATATATTTTTATTTTTTATTTATTTTTTTACCTACCATCTCAATTTCATTATGCTAAAAAGGATGTTTCTGTGGTTTGCCTTGTGAAAATATTTATATGGACACTAGTATCTTTGATATTATGCGTTATCACATGTAATATGAAGCAGATTTGATATGTAATATTTTGTTTTCTGTAGGCACTTGAATTTGATCCATCGAATACCAAAGCACTTTACAGACGGGCACAGGGCTGGCAAGGCTTGAAAGATTATGAACAAGCACTGGTAAGATGGGTTGGTTTAATCACTCTAAATGTGTTTATTGAGATAAGAAAGATTATTTTTTTTTATTTTTATTTTTTTTTAACCTGCTTCCATTTTGTGTTTTAGGAGGATCTTAAAAATGCTCACGAGTTGGCACCGGATGACAAAGGTAAAGTAGTCTACTTGTTGGATGACAACTTAAAATGTATAGAGTTTAAAAATGCATCTTAACTATTTTGAGCTGTGTATTCCAACTGGAAATCCTCAGGATCCCATTCAACCCTTAAAGATCTTTTTATTTTTTTATTTTTTTTTTATTTTTTTTAGCAGTTATCATGTGTGAAATACCATTGGACCTTTTATATTGCCTACAAGAAATGTTTTATATACCCAACCTTTCTTTTATTGGCTGTCATTATAAGGCAGCGTAGCCTTGCTAATGATCTATTGGGAGGAATTGGAGGAAGTAATAGAAAAGAGTTTGAACTTTAGCAGGTCATAAAACGCAAAGTGTGGCTCCCATTAAATTGAGATTCGTTTACCCCTTCATGAAGTGTTGGCTCATGTTTGGGGGATTGGAGAACTACAGTCACTCTATGGATTGCTATATCACAATATTCCCCTGAGTATAATTACTAGCTCTTATAAGAGCTGTTCCGGCTACGCTCTCTGGACTAGGAGAGGTCTATCCACTGGAAGCTGGATCCTGGTCCTGCGTCCAGGGTGGGTGGAGGACGGCGAGACCCCAACCAAGCTGCGGCGGTTCGTGAAGTTAATGGTAGTTATGGTGTTCCAGTGCAATTCTTTAATTAGATTATCTCCCAAGTACAGAAAATGAAACAATATTTTAAAACATCACAACTCCCATAATATTCAGAACTCCACGAAAGACACTTCATCGAATAGCACGTGTTCGGTTATATGAACGGCGGCCACCCATCCGACTACTTAGAACCTTGCGGTTTTAAGGTGTTACAGTACTCGATTGGAGGCACACAACTTCTCTGGGTGGTATCCCTGTTCGGTGGTTGGTTCGACTGACTAACAATATGTCCCTATTCTGTTCGTGACATTTAAATAGTCGAACCAACTCAGTTTCCTATACAAATAAGTGGCTAGTTTTGTCACAATGGGTACCCATGTATCCTCCTGAAACACTTGTGCTCATGTACAAATTTATTCTCATTGGATTGAAAAGTCTACATGTGAATCTATGTAGGATAGGATCTACTTGTGGCAGCCGGGATTGCCAAATTCCCCTTTGTTTGTGTTTTGGACAGGCGCTCACACCTTTTTCTCTAAACTGGAGGTAGTGAATATGCTTGTAGAAAGTACAAGTAATTTACCTTCATTAGTCAATGGAAAATGGTTTGTATTCTTTGTTTTTGAGTTTAGCCTCTCTGTTGCAAGTCTTTTTTGTTATGCTAATTTGGCGATTCGTTTTTTTTCCCATTTAAATACAAGGACTGAACTAAATAGCAAGATTATGTAGAAAGCGTGCTTCAGCAGTATTTACTTTGTGGTTACCCTAGTTTATAATCCAACCTGTGGTTTAGGGATTAGCCTCCACTGTTTTATTGCCCATGTAATGCCTTCAGGCACTCCAAACTTAGTTTCCAGTCCTTAAAGCGTGTTTTTTCCCTCTGTATCTTTTTAGCAACAAAATTGGGAAGGGCCAAAATCTTGGACTGTAGGAGTCCCTTGAGAACTGGGTTTAGAACCGCTGGTCTAGATGCAGGAATAATTTGTCAGGCGTAATATACATGACCGTATGCTTTCTTTTAAATGTTTTGGCTGGTATTTTAAATATGCGACAATTGAACAAACCTAATTACCAGATTTGTTGTTTCTTGCAGCAATCAGCAGTGAAATCCTACGGGTCAAGCACAGGATCAAGGAACAGAAGGCAAAAGAAAAAGCTGTATATGCAAAAATGTTTGCATAGAATTTTTTATTGTAAAGTCTGCATGGAACGTATTGACGGGATGGCTTCTGCTGATTTAAGGAGACACTTTTACAAGAAGAGCAGCTGTCGGATAAACCAAAAAAAGCAAACTTTTTTGAGCCCAAGAGATGTAGTTTAATGGTTTTCAAATGGTTATAGTTTTTCCTTCACCTATGTGTTTTTTGTTTTTTTCCTTTTCATTGTGACACTGCATGAACTATGCAAATGTAGGATGTGCAGTGTAGCTTTTACTTGGTGTGACTTTTGTTATTCTGCCAACCGTAATACTGTTTATTTTTTTTATTTTTTTCCTGTTTTACTTAAAGGAGCTTATTTTCCTCTGTGGAACTTTTGAAAGCTGCAGTTGGTTACTAGCATTTTTTTTTTCTTTCATTTTACATAAGAAATGTTTACCGTTCCTCTTAATAAAGACTGTTAATGCTGCAAATGTCTGTTTTGTGAAAGTAAAAACAAATGAACTACTGATCAAAGTGATGTACATTAGTTTCAGTTTAGGCACCATAACATACCAGTGTATTGGTCATGGTGCTACTGTGCTATCCCTGGTCTGATAGTGAAACTGTTTGCTCAACTAGTGTCAATGAAGCACATATCTGGCACCCAGCTAAGCTACAGCTGTAAGCTATTACTAATGTTATACTTCAGCATTCGCAATGTCAATTTCATCCATATTTTAAAGCCATTCTGGAGGTAATCGCCTGCAACCTAATGGCACCATAATTACTAAATCAACATGGGTGCCTAGACTTCTTTAGTATGCAGGGGCTGCGTTTTTTGTCTGAAGACCTTTTTCGTATAAAATAATTTGCCAACCACTATTATGTTTAATCAGGTTTGTTAATGAGCTAAAGTAATTTAAAAAGCCAGGAGCATATTCTAAAAATTACATAAAAGGATCACTTACTGGTGTAATGTACATAGTTACATAGCTGAAGAGTCTTGCGTCTATCAAGTTCAGCCTTCCTCACATTTGTTTTTTGCTGTTGATCCAAAAGCTGAATGTTCACCAAAGAAATTGCGACAGTGCTGGCTTACAACTTTAATCATTTATATCTAAGTAAAGTGACTATTTACTTGAAGGTCTTTCTTGCAGGTGTTGCCATCTTCGTTGTGGTATCTATCTTTAACTCTGGGCACATTCTCCAGGAGCAGTGTCAGTCATGCTGTTCTGTATTGTACTTATGCACATCTACATAAGATCTTATGAGATTGAAGGAACCTCCATAGATCTACACTCAGAATACACAAGGTGCCTGTTTCAAAATAGCAATGGCTGCGAGAATTGGCAAAGCTGAACCTTTTCTTAAAAAATAAAATTGCTGTTTTAGGATTTGACCATTGGTCAAAGATTACACACTCCACCACCTGCCCCCCTCAACTCCCCAGTGAAATTACAGTCATAGAAACATAGAATGTGACGGAGATAAGAACCATTCGGCCCATCTAGTCTGCCCAATTTTCTAAATACTTTCATTAGTCCCTTGCCTTATCTTATAGTTAGGATAGCATTATGCCTATCCCACGCATGCTTAAACTCCTTTACTGTCTTAACCTCTACCACTTCAGCTAGAAGGCTATTCCATGCATCCACTACCCTCTCAGTAAAGTAATGCTTCCTGATATTTTTAAACCTTTGCCCCTCTAATTTAAGACTGTGTCCTCTTGTTGTGGTAATTTTTCTTCTTTTAAATATAGTCTCCTCCTTTACGGTGTTGATTTCCTTTATGTATTTAAATGTTTCTATAATATCCCTGTGTCTCAGCTTTCCTCCAAGCTATACATGTTAAGATCCTTTAACCTTTCCTGGTAAGTTTTATCCTGCAATCCATGAACCAGTTTAGTAGCCCTTCTCTGAACTCTAAGGTAGTCAGTATTTTAGAAAGATTTTTTCTGAAGTACTGAAATAACCTCTTAAGTGTTCACCATAACTAGATATAATGCAGATCAGTCTTGGGGTGATGTCCCCCCACTTTGTGTCAAACGGAGCAGGTTGGGGGGATGATTTAAAAAAAAAAAAAAAATTAAAAATTCCAGCATCTAAAACCTGCCCCATCTGTTGTGGCATTGTTAATGCAGAAGTTTGCAGGGTTGTGTTATCTCAGTCCAACCATGGATTCCATTGATAGTGCTGCTTTTGGGGCTTAAAGTGCCCTCTTATTGACATTCATCTGTCACCTTGGAGGGGGGTCAGGGTGCACTACAGGGAGTTCTAGTGCCAAGAAAACAACCTTGCTTTTCTGGCACTATAGTTTCCCTTTTAATGTGAGAAGACTTGGCACAGCTGTTGAAATGAGACCTATTTTACAAATCCACTTGAACACTTAAAATAGGATTTTGGTAATTTAATTTTACCTGGAGGAATTGAATAGAAGATATCTTAGAAAAGGCATTGGATTATCCATGCTTTAAAACCCCTTTAGTAAAAATCAGTCTTTAAAAATCTAAATTATTAAATAGGTATATACCTCCTGCAATATTTATTTATAAGATAAAAAGAATTTAATAAAATCTATTGAGAAATGACCAATAGGCTACACCTGCATTGTATTTAAACCTGACCGCATCTCATGCTAATTATTCTACTTTAATTAAAAATAGCAAGAGGGATTTGGGTAGAGCTTCATTTTCAATCATTACCATTATAACCAGATGTCAAATTCAAATTCATTATTTCACAGAAATAACTTCACAAAAACAAGTCTTTAAAAATAACTGTATTCATTTTACAGCAGCTTAAAAGTAAGAAAAAAAAAAAAATGTGTCGAGCATATAATGCTCCTCAGATTTTGTAAGGCTTTGTAGTAAACTGTATAATACACCTTCCTGAAGCCATTGCCCTGCCCATGATGAACAGCTGCTAGAAAGCAACAACACGTTTTAAACCAGGAAATCAGACATACACCCCACATTAGTAAGTTAATGCAACTCCGTCATCAAATAGGAAAAATCCTAAAACACTTTTACAGATTCATTTTGAATTTCATTAGAAATTACATTTCCTTCGAAACAATGATCCCATAATGCAGATTTGTTTAATCAACATTGTTTCTGCGTCTACATTCCATTGTAAGCTGGACCTCCTCCGCCTTCTGGAACAACCCAGTTAATATTCTGACTTGGATCTTTGATGTCACAGGTCTTGCAGTGGACACAGTTCTGAGCATTGATCTGTAACCGTGACCCTTCACCAGATTCCAGAGGAACATACTCGTATACCCCTGAAGAGAAAAGTAAATCAAAGCCACCACATTAATGATATGGTACAGCAGCTTAATGACAGAATAAATCATAAGTATACCTTTAAATATAGTGCATCAAAATGGAACGTCCCACTTAAATGACTGCAGAGTGCCGCTAATGCAAAAAAGCAGAGCATACTTGCATAGGGTTTTTAGGAACCATATTGTGTTTCTCAAATAGCTAGGCATTGTTATCACGTGGCTGCTCCTGTTATAATTTAGTTTCTCGCCTTTAACTTTAATATGCCAAATACACTATTGTAAAAGGCGGAAAAATGAATACAATAGCCAGTTATATATAGTCTGAGTGCAGGAAAAGCTAATCTTACATTCAAGCATTGCACAGACGTACTGTATGTAAACCTTGTAATTCTAGAAACATTTAATTTTAATAGAGTCCAACATATAATTGTATTTTTCTTGGTCATAATCCTTTCCATTTTTATCCCATGCTTGTACCCTCCCCAACTGCCCTTAACCCCCCCTCCCCCAATATAAATAAAGAGACTTGTCTACTACTCACCAGCTGGGCAGAATCTCTGCTCTGGCCCATCAAATATGGCAAGATTTCGGTTTACTGGTATGCTGTCGTCCTTTAGTGTTAGATGTGGGGGTTGGTCATGGTCGTGGTTAGTGCCACTGAGAGCCACTGATGACAAGAGGTCAAAACTTAACTTCCCATCAGGCTTTGGATATTCAATTGGTGTGCAGTCCTTAGCAGGTTTTAACTGAGCACTGTCCAAACCTGGTCAAGAAATGAGAATATGAAGGAATATTTCACAAATGATTCCTATAATGAGATTTTGACTGAGCAAAGCCAAGTGCTATGATGTTTTACTTACAGAGAGAAAAAGTAATCAAAAACATTAGGGACGATATTCGGCATGTTTCCAATAATTGGTATTGGACTTGTAATTTACAGATCTTACCAATAACTTACCAGCCAAAGAGGTGCCAACTTGTGACCTCACGTCACCCCTCCCTGTGAGTCCTTGCATGCGGAGCTCAGCTGAAGGCAGGGAAGTGAGACAGTAAATAATCAACTGTAACTTACTGGGTTGGCTGCCTGAGAGTGATACACTCCTATCAGGAACATATCTGCACATGCTGGGATTTCAGAAAACTTTAAATGTACAGAATATTGGCACTGGTTATCAGAAATCGTCCTGAAAGCTGAACAATAATCAATCGGCTCTGGAAAAATGATATATGCCGATCCCTACTTTATCCCTAAGCATCTCATCACAAGGCATCTGCTTTTCTTCGGCAACTGCCCCAACTGATTTCTCCTAAGCAGCTCTCCAGTTGGCTCCTTCCAAAGCAGAAAGACAGAGAATGATGTCTCTATGCATCTACCCAGTTTTCAGAAGCGACTCCCCAATCTGCCTTTTTTTATTTTATGCCTGTGAATCATTATTCTAAGTAGCTCTATGGACTGGCTTTTTTATCCAAGTGTCTGCCCATTTGGACCTTTTTTCCCCTTTGCACTTCTGCAGGCTATTTTACATCAACAGTAATCCATCTCCCACAAAACAAAAAAAAAAGACTGGTGGATACTAGGGATTAAAATGTAGTCCTACGCTATTAGACATTCCTTAAATGTTACTCGCCACTGTAACAAGTCATTGGCAAACTCAGCAGATGTGAATTTCTACTTGCAAGGGCTGAATTTTCACTTGCCAATGACTAATGAAAATTTTGAACTCTGCTTACATGTTACATAGTAATCTAGGTTGAAAAAAAAAGACTGAAGTCCATCAAGTGCAGATTGATGAACTGTGTTTTGTAGTGTGAGGACTAACATTGCAAAAATTAGGCAAATATAGAGATGGAAAAACCACCTCTTCATTTACTGTAAGGAAGTTAGATTGTGACAATAATTGTAGAAAATAAATAAATAAGGGAGATAGGGGGAAATCAAGATATGTGACTCAGTTTAGAATGATACCTTTATGTTTTAGTGTCCAGGGTTCCTTTCCTCTGAGTATCCAGTAGAAGATTCCAGTGTAGATCATTCCACCATACAAACCCAGAGGTCCATGGCAGGAAGGTCTGATATTCCTCACTGAATAAAGCTCCTTCCAAATCCAGGACTTTCTCAGTGCTTCTTCATACTCTGGAACATTCAGGCCTATTTTAAGCAGAATGTGAAAATTAAGCACCAGCTTTGGCAAAGAAAAAAAAAGTATATATATTTCTGTCTTTACAGTTATTAGTTTATATCCTAATCAAAATGTTTAACGACACAGGTTTTGAAAAGGGATTTTAATGACCATGTTGATACTCAACTACAATGAAAGGCCACTCTAAGCACCATAACCACAACATCACTCTGCATTAGTTATGGTGCACAGAGTCCACTGGTTCAGTCCCACTGTTACGAGTCAAATTATTTTCAGTTTGACATTTACCTGGGTTCCCAAGGCACCCTCAGTCAGGCACCACCTTACAGAATACTTCTATTTTAGCAATATCAATTTTGTCTCAACTATGGAAAGAACTCAGAGTTTAATCTGCCACTTTGGCCTATGAATTCTATCCAAAGATGGACAGAAAGTTCAACTTTTACTCACCGTAAATTTATTTTTCCTTAAGATTAGAGGCAGTGCACTAAAACAGGGATTTCCTCTAATCTGGATCGGAAAGGCAGGCAGCCAATTTTAAATCCTGTAGACTCCTCACAGTATAAAAACCACCTGGAACCCCCAAAACCCCAGAAAATACAAAAGCCAAATAACTGCAAAAATTCCTTTAATAAATTAGGGTGGGAAATATATGCACTGCCTCTAATCTTAAGGAAATAATTTTATTACAGTAAGTAAAATTTGAACTTTTCCCTCCAGATTAGAGGCAGTGCACTACAACAGGGATAAACAAACAATCCCCTAAGGGTGGGAAATATCACATCACCACTGCTTGTAACACCTTACACCCAAAAATAGAATCCTCAGAGGCCTGTATGTCTAACCTATAATGTTTGGGGAAAGTATATAGAGACGACCAAGTTGCTGTATTGCAAATTTGGGAAGGAGAAGCCGAAGCTCTTGAGGCCCATGAGATAGCAACAGCTCTGGTAGAATGAGCCCTTAAATTCAGGAGACGACACCTGAGAAGAATGGTTTACTAATACAATAGCTTCTTTAATACATATTGCCAATGGGCCTTTAGAGACCATAAGTCCTTTATTTTTTCCTTGGAAAAGGACGAACAATCTGTTCGTTCTCCTAAACGAAGTCGACCTTTCCATGTAAAACTGCAGGCAGCGTTTAACATCCAGGCAATGGAATTAACGTTCCGCAGGATTCTGAGGGTTCCAGCAAAATGTAGGGAGAACAATTTCCTGATTTATATTAGTTGAGGTGGACACCTTAGGAAGAAAAGACGGATGAAGTTTCGGGACCACCGTATCCTGGTGAAATTCTAGGAAAGGAGGAGAAGAGGACAAGGCCTGAAGTTCACCCAGACATTTAGTAGACGTCACTGCAACCAAAAATACTGTCTTCAATGTAAGAATCTTCAGACTGACAGACTAAGGGTTCGAACGGTGTCTCACAAAGAGCAGAGAGGACAATATTTAAATCCCAAAGGGGAACCAATTCCCTGATGGTAGGAAGGAGTCTAGAAAGTGCTCTAAAAAAAAATATCTGGAAATAAGAGCATCCAAAACCATTCTCGAATACTAAAAAAACGAATAGCAGAGATGTGGACCTTCAGAGTAGCAGGACGAAGGCCTTTAGCAAACTCTAATTTGCAGAAATGTCAAAATCTGAGGAACAGAAGCCGAAAGAGGATTGAACCCCACATTATAGCACCAAGAGCAAAACTTTTTCCTAATTCTAGTGTAAACTAAGGAAGTGGAGTCTTTTTTTTGCTGCTAATTGGACATCCACTACTTCAGGACTGAGTCCCCTTGATCTCAGCATCTGGCATTCGGATACCAGGCTGTTAATTGGAATGTTTGAAGGGTGTGAAGCGGAACCAGCTTGTGTTCCAGAATTTTCTCTGTCATCGAAAGAACCAACTTCTTTGAGGCCAGAAGGTAAGGGAAGTATTATCATCTTTGACCTGTCCTGGACGATTTTTTGTAGAATACGTGGGATGAGGATAACCAGAGGGAAGATGTAAGCCAGTGGAAAATCCCACTGAATCGACATCGCATCCAGGAAGTTGGGTTTACAAAGGCTACTGCGGTTGAATTGTCTGGCCATATGTGAGTGTGACGACCCATCAGATGTCTTTTGAATAAGAGAAGTGCCAACCAGATGGCTTTTAGTTCCTTGTAGTTTGAAAACTTCCTTGCATCTTGCAGATTCTTAATACCTTTTGTCAGCTTTGTACCCATGTGAACATCCCATCCCATCCCATACTTGATACATCTGTTATAAAAACGAAATTTTAAAATCTGAACGAAAGATCTTCTTAAAGGAAATGTGAAATCATCCACCAATGGAAGCCTAGTCGAGCCGAAGAGTTTAAATTTATGGACTGGTCTAGGTAATGCCGTTTTCCTGCCCCAGGACAAGAGGATATTCTTCTGCAATGGTCTCATATGTGCCTTGGCCCAGTTTACGGTTGGAATTGTGGCAGTGAACAGACCCAGAAGTCTTATAGCTGCTCTTATAGTGCAAAACCTTTACTTTTGCAAGTTGATAATAGTGACCATGATTTTGTTTATCTTCTCCTCTGGAAGTAAAATCTTCATTTCAATAGAGTCTAAAATGAGACCCAGAAAAAGGACAGAACGAGATGGGGTTAACTCTGACTTGTCTGTGTTTATAATCCAACCATGTTTTTGGAGAGTGATAGTAGCCCTTCTGATGTTTTTCAGTAGTTGTAGCTCTGAAGACGCTATGAGTAACCAGTCGTCCAGATGCAGTACGATGTGGAGACCTTTTTTCCGCATTTCTGCTGTGATAACCATAAATAATTTGGAAAAGACTCTTGGAGCCGAAGAAAGTCCAAAGGGCAAGGTTCTGAATTATAAATGCAGAAGCCGATCCTGATCTTGTATGGCAAATCTTAAAAACCTTCTGCTGTTTGCTGCTATGGGTATGTGTAGATAGGCATCTTGCAGATCGATGGAACATAGCCATGAACCTGGTTGAATTATGTGAGGTGGAGAAGATGTTTTCCATGTAAAAAAATTTCTTAAGCACGAACCAGTTTACTAATTTTAAATCCAGAATTGGATGGAAAGAACCATCTGGCTTTTTTACCAAAAATAATCTTGAATAAGAACCTCTGAATTCTTCTCCTTTTGGAAGAATTTCTATCACATTTTTCTACCATAAGACCCAAACTTCTTGGAGAAGAACTGATGCCATATCTGAGGAATGTACAGTTGAACAAAGGAATTTTCCTGGAGGAAATTTGAGAAGTTCTATACTGTAACCTCTCTGAACCACTGACTTCTCCCAACTTCTGCCATACTGCCTTGAATAACAGAAGTCTGCCACCTACTGTTATAGCGTCAATCTTTTTTCTTGAAATTTCCTTTTTCCCTTATCCTGAAAGGAAAATGGCCTTCTTCGATTCTTCTTATAGGAGAACCTTCGAAAGGAATCTCTGTAAGAACGTCTGTTTTTGTTGAAGAATGGTTTGTTCCAATTTTTCTTCTTTTCTTCAGGCAAGGCTTTCAACCAGTTGCGAACCAAACAGCCTACCTTGTTCAAAGGGAAGATCACACAACAAATTTTTAGAAGCAGAGTCAGCAGACAAGCTTCTGAGTCATACTGGTTACATTAGAGAGTCCCATCATTTTTGCTGAAAATTTCACCGTCTCTGATGAAGAGTCAGCCAAAAAATCCGCAGCCATCTTCACATTCCTCAAAAGTTTAACTTGATCGTCTCTGGATTCACCCATATAAACTTTCTCCAAGGTATGCAGCCAACATCTTTGAGCTTTGGCTACCGAAGAACCTGAAATGAGGGCCTTACTGTAAAAAAAAAAAAAAAAAAAAAAAAGCTTCTTTATGCTAGATTCTGCTCGTTTGCCCATCGCATCCTGGAGCCCACTGGAATCTCCAATAGAAGTGTGGTTTTCTTCCCTAGCTGTGCAATTGGTATATCCACTTTAGGTATGCTTGTCAGGTTCTTCTTTAAGTGAAAAAAAATGGTTTTGAAATGCTTGGATACAAAAGCTTTCTTGGCTGGAGATTTCCATTCTCTAAGCATCAACTGCTGTACAGAAGGGTGAATAGGAAAAGACTTAAGCTTTCTCTTCACAAACTTAAGTTTTCTTCCTTTGAACCTGAAGGAGATTTTTCCAAATCCATGAGGCTATAGACATCCTTGATGAGTTTATGTAGATACGGTTCCTGAAAGCAATATTCCCCGTCAGAGGAAGCACTGGATTCTTCGGAAGAGTACTCATCAGAAGATGATTCAGAGCTCATTTCCATAATTTCCTATCCCGACTTCTTCCTTTTAAAAGGAGGAGTACCTGGTTCGGCTCTTTTCTTAGGGTTTGACTGAATGGCAGACTAGGCTGATAACAAAGCAGCTTCCTTTATATCCACCAAACTTTGCTGCATGCTATTCTGGAACCATGACATGAGAGACAAAAAACTGTCTTTTTAGCTTCTTCTGAAGCCTCTTTATAGCAATTGCTACACGTGTTTTTTTTTCTAGTCATCTGGTAAAGGCTGTGAACAAGTGGCATACATCAAATGCTATGTTTTGGCTAAGCTTCTCCCTTTTTCTCCAGGTTTATCTGTCTTCTCTAATTTAGACATACTGCAAGAGAAAAGAGAGAAAGAAGAATTTGTTTTTTTAAAATCTATAATAAAATTGAAATTTAATCAGGCAAGATACATTAAGGAAAAAACTAGAACAGCACACTGCAACAGGAATGCGAGTACCTGGCAAGCAGGGAGTTGCTACTGGGTAATGTAGTTCCCTGGTCCTGAAACGCAAGGATTTTCATGCCTGATTTTTAAGAGATTGCTTCACGCATGCGGAACGCTCCGCAATCTCTAAATGGAACACAACTGGTGTGATGCGTTCCATCTCCCGCACGTGTGTCCAGCGCACACTTGCCATTTCCGGCACCCGACTCGGAGGATCGGCGGTATAAAACCCGGTGAAACGCCGGTGCCCGGCTTATGTTCCACCACAAAATAAGGACAGAACTTGCCCTGAGTTGCTATGGACAGCTCACCTTGTCCAAGTAAGTTGCATCCAACCTTGCCGAAGGCAGGCAGGGGACTGGGAATTTGGGGGTTCCAGGTGGTTTTATACCTATAGGAGGAACTGTCTACAGGATTAAAAATGGTTTATCTGCCTGCCTGCCTTTCCGATCCAGATTTGAGGAAATCCCTGTTGTAGTGCACTGCTTCTAATCTGGAAGGAAAAATGATATTGCTGATGCGGAAGTAGGAATTTCCACTTTAGTGATATCTGAAAAGGGACAGGACTGCAAGCAGGGGAACCCAAGTGACTGACAAAGTGTCTTACTATAGACAAAGTGTGTTTCAAGTACAGTTCTCCATTATTACAGTTTTGCTACAACTATGTTACATTTTCATTTTAAACAAAACCAAATAATGAAAGAACAAAAAGGGATAGGTGGGGAGGATAGGTTAACACCATGATAACATTCAATTCACTAATCCAGCCTGTTTGAATTTAAGTTGCAGACTTATAGTGCCACCAGTGATTCCATATCTTAGGAAGGGAGGGAGTTATCGATTGTGGCAGTCAGTTGATCCATTAGGTTGTTTTCATCAATCTTTGCTCTGACCTCTCTAAGGGTAGGGGTTGATACACACAACCTTGTTGCTGCTATGGACCCCCTGGCAGCGAATGTGATTTTATTAAATAATTTCTGAGCTCTCCTGAGCACTCTGTATGTTGGGATAATAAACATTCAGGGATCAAATTCACAAGGCATGCGAAAAACAGCAGACATATTCTCCACTAGCCTATGCCTTTTGTTGTTCCATATAAAGTTATCAATGGTCCTCTGAATGCCCTCAAGATCTCTTTTTGTGATTAACACTGGGAATGCCTGGAATACAAAAAGCAATTTCGGAAGAAAATTTACCTTTATACTATGTACGATGCCCATCCAAGATATTGGTCTCTCTCCCTATACCTCCAGGTCCCTCCTGATTTTTTGAATCAGAGCAGAGTAGTTCGCACTAAAAAGTGTCTTCTAGTCACTTTAAACCTTACTTCCCAAGTATCTTACCGACAAGCTAATCTGTAGTTAATCGTTTGACCAAACCAGTTCTGTATCGGCAGCTGACAAATTCATAGGGATAGCACTAGATCTGTCTACAATTTACTCTATAACTTGAGACATATCCAAAACTTTAAACCATTCAAATTGTGGATTTAGAGAGTGTATAGGGTCAGTAAGGGTAATGTCATCAGTATATGGTGCTATCTAAAAATATTCTTGTCCCACCATAATGACCTTTATTAGTGGATTCGTCAGGTGAAGGAAAGTCTCCAAGGAAAGGGCAAACAGTAAAGTTGAGAGGGGGCACCCCTGCCTCGGCCACCTGGAGTTAGTAAATGCAGTTGAACCAGCCCCTGGGAGAGGGAATTGTGCCCTCAGGCCCATATGTAAAGCTGTGATAGCTCCCATAAATAGTGGGGAAAAGCTCAAGTGCTCTAGCAATCCTAACAGGTATGCCCACTACACTTTGATAAACACCTTCTTTGCATCCAACGAGAGGAGCAAAGCAGTTGTATATCATAAAAAGTAAAATTAAACAAGGAAGAAAAAGCCAACTATAAATAAAAATATTTAAACTATGCATACTTATTGGAGATATCCATGTATATTTGACATTTGCAACTGTGATGTGAGATACAAAATCCAAAAGTGTAAGATTAGGTTACGCTGCGAGTTACAAGGTTTAAAAAGGTGACAAATAAATCAAAGAACAAAAATAATTTTAGACCTTGAGTACTTGACTGGAGATTGTCATCAGATAGTTGTTTAAAGATGGCTTCTGCGGCCAGCATACCACTCTTCATGGCAGTGTGAGTCCCTTTAATCTTAGGTACATTCATAAAGCCTGGACTGCACCCTACAAAAAGTCCACCTGGGAAAGTGAGTTTTGGTAAAGACTGAAAGAGAAGAGCAAATGTACAGCCATGAAACCACTGTGATTAGGCAGAAAGAAAGTAACCAAAAAATGTGCTGGCTTTATGTGGCTCAAACCTATGAGTTCCAACAGAAGGGAGTAGAAAAACTCAAATATAGACTTGCCTTGACGTTGGATGGCAAATTTAAACATTATAATCAAATCGGAGGTATAAAATAAAAATAAATTTTTTTATTTTACTTCCTGTAGATTCTTTTTCCTTAGTATAGTGGCAGTACTTGTGGAATGTCCTTATTTATGTTGGATAAATACTCCTGAAAATAAACTCTAAACTATTAAAATTAAAAAAAAAACCTCCTCCCCGTCGTAACTTAAAAGTTGATCCCTTACTGAACACTCCAGCCATAGCAAGAAACAACATGGAGACCAAATGCTGCAAAAATATCAAACTTTAATACAAACATTAAGGGAGATCTGTACGGACACTAAGGAAAACATTTTTACGGTGAGTAAAATTTCAGATATTCCCAACATATAGCAGCAGTACCTGTGGGATTCTAGTAAGATCTTGACTAGAGACTTCAGATAGAGATGTGTGGGACCATTCACCAGCAAATACACCTGACTGAGAAGAAGACCTGCTTCGCTTACATCTTTTTATAGGTCTGTCCTGGACAGATTTTACAGATAATTCATTAAAAAAACTCAAATGTTTGTAAGAAATTCTCTTGAAACCAGGTTAAGAAAGACTGAATTTCTAAGTGCTTGGACTTTTTCAGCAATTCAGCTTAGAACTGATTACAGGTTTTCTTTTTGCATTCATCTGGAAGTGTAGTAGCACATTCAATAAAAATTTAAATGCTTGGATTTGCATAAAGTCTTCAATTTCAGAGCAGGAGTAGGCATTTTGTCTGGTAAGGCAAGGCTTACACATGCAGAATACCCTGGTGTCAAATATAATCTAGGTATTATGACCACTGGAAGTTTTTAAGGAAAAAAAAACAAAAAATGATCCCACCTTAAATCCCTCAGAACTGTGTGCAGGGGCTGCTGACATGATTGACCTATTCTCCATCACCCCTAACCCTGCAAGTGTAATTATTGCAGTTTTTATAAACTGCAATAATTACCTTGCAGGGTTAGGACCTCCTCAAGTTGCAGTCTACCAGACAGCCACTAGAGGGAATTCCAGCTTCTTAGACAACTTTTGGTCGAATAAATGACGCTGGACGTCCTCACGCTATGCATGAGAACCTCCAACATCGCCGGAATCCCCATAGGAAAGCACTGAATTGCGCATGCCCATTAGGTCTCCACCGGCGGGGGAGGAGCGTGGGTGAAGCCTGACCCAGCGCCGAGGGACATCGGCGCTGGATTCAGGTAAGTGCCTGAAGGGGTTTTAAACCCTTCAGTGACGTGGGATGGGGGGCACTCCAGGATTCTCTAGTGCCAGGAAAACGGGTTTGTTTTCCAGGCACTGGAGAAACACTTGAAATATTTCTATGTATTCTTCTTGCTTACACATCACAGTAATGTGAAGAATATGCAGGAACGCTGCTTCAGAACATGAATTGTTTACTACCTGTACACATTATTTATTACTACGGCCTACTACAAATCTAATAAGGTTACCTGAAACCCTCCTTCATTGAGTGCTCTAGCTCCATAACCAATCCTGGTTCCACCCTCCAGTGTAGGTATAACACTGGGATGGTGCTTCCACCTCTGAAATTCTCTGAAAGGGTTCACATATGGGTTCTGATAATCTAGTCCAACCTGAAAAGACAAAAAACAAAACAATGAATGTAGAGGAGCTGCTTACCCAATGTACTCAACTTATAAGGTACAGTTCTTTAGTGGGTCAAACGTTATAGTCTTTTTACTGAATGACAATTGCAACAACAACAAAAAAAAAAAAATATTCCTGTAACCCAACTTCTACAAGCCGTGAGAAGCTTTAAAGTAATTTATCTTGCAATTATTATTCCTGTCTTATATTTTGACCAATTTATATAAAAGCTACAAATGTACCCCTCTTGCTAGTCTCTTAAAATAAATATATTTGTGAGCCTGTGGTTTAACAACATGTGTGATAAGGTTCAAACACATTCCAGAATATCTTACCCCTAAAAGTGTAAGTATGACCAGAAACCATGTGGATTTAAAACGTATGATTATAGGCACATCATAAAAATCCATTAGTCTACGTTTTTGGTTGTAGATATTCTATTAAATGTCATTGCTTACATACGTATGTATTACATATCTACAATAAATATTTTGCAACATTTTTAAATCATTTCAAATGAAGGTGTAGCTTTGTGAAAATGATGTTCCATACAAAAGAAAACATTCTTCAGCAACAGTGAGAAAAACTTTGAAGCACATCATCTAAAACCAAAAATCGAGATTCCTCTACAATGCCAGGAAGGTAAAAACTTGCCAAAGCAAAGGCCTTTTCAAGATTAAGGAGATGAAACATGATATGTTGTCGTGTCAATGTAGGTTTATATTGCTATACAATTAAATACGTGTCAATGGAGTGTGAAATTATTATTTATATAGCGCCAACAAATTCCGCAGCGCTTTACAGTGGGTGGACGAAGAAACATGTAGTTGTAACCAGACAAGTTGGACACACAGGGACAGAGGGGTTGAGGGCCCTGCTCAATGAGCTTACATGCTAGAGGGAGTGGGGTAAAATGGCACAAAAAGGTAAGGATAGTATTAGACTAGTGACAGCTGCAGAAAATGAATCAGTCAGGAGCTATTAACTGTTTAATTGATAAGTTTTTAATGATTTTTTGAAGGAGTGGAGACTGGGTGAGCATCTAATGGAGGAGGGAAGCGTGTTCCACAGGAACGGTGCAGCCCTCGAGAAGTCTTGAAGGCGAGCATCAGAGGTGGGAGTACGGACAAAAGATAGACGTAGGTCTTCAGCAGAGCGTAAGGGCCTAGATGGGACATACTTATGTATTAGGGAGGATAGATCAGTGGGAGCAGCATTATGTAGAGATTTGAAAGCAAGAACCAGAATTTTAAATTGAGCCCTATATCTTACAGGAAGCCAATGTAGGGATTGACAGAAGGGTGAGGCGTGGGCAGACAGGAAGATGAGCCTCGCCGCCGCATTCATTATGGACTGTAATGGTGCAAGTTGGGAGCACGTAAGAAGCAGATTACAGTAGTCAAAGCGAGAAAGGACAGTGGCATCTGGTGTTAATTATGGTCAAATGCGCGCAATATTTTTGAGACGGCAGGATTTGGCGATAGACTGAACCTGAGGCGTGAAGGAGAGGTCGGAGTCAAAGAGAACATCTAGGCAACGAGCCTGCGTAGTGGAGCTGATGTTAGCACCGTTGACTTGGAGGGAGACAGACACAGGTAGCAACACTTGAGGGAGGAAAGACCAGAATTTCAGTTTTAGTCAAGTTGAGTTTAAGGAAGTGGGCAGCCATCCAGTTAGAAATAACAGAGAGGCAGTCAGAGACACTAGCCAAGAGGGACGGGGAGAGATCAGGAGAGGACAGATAGATTTGCGTGTCATCCGCATAGAAATGATATTGGAAGCCAAAGGATCTAATGAGTTTTCCAAGGAGGCAGTATAGATAGAGAACAGTAGGGGACCAAGGACTGAACCTTGGGGCACACCAACACAGAGGAGTTGGGAAGATGCAGCAGAGCCAGAGAAAGAAACAATGAAAGAGCACTGGGAGAGGTAGGAGGAGTACCAGGAGAGAGCAATATCTTGTAGACCGATATTGCGGAGGATGAGAAGAAGCGGTTGATAATTAACAGTGTCAAAAGCCGCAGAAAGCTCAAGGAGAATTAGGATAGAGTAGTGACCACGAGATTTTGCAGCGAGTAGATCATTGGATACTTTCATCAGTGCCGTTTCCACAGAGTGCTTAGCGCGGAAACCAGACTGAAGCGGGTCTAGCAGAGAGTTGGACTCGAGGAAGTCTGTCAATCTCGCATACACAACTCTTTTAAGGCTCTTGGATGCTAAGCAGTAGCGAGATAGGACGGTAGTTGGACAAGGAGTTAGGGTCAAGGTTGGGCTTCTTTGGAATTGGGGTTATAGTTGCATGTTTGAAGGGTGATGGAAATATGCCAGAGGAGAGAGAGAGATTGAGAATTTTAGTGAGAGGTAGAGAAAGAGAAGACCGCGTACGGATGAGATGCGAGGGAATTGGATCTAGGGAGCAGGTGGTGGGGCGGGAGGACTGGAGCAGAGCAGAAACCTCTTCCGCTGTAGCGGGTGCAAACGAACATAGAACAGCAGAGGGAGTGAGGTTAGGGGAAGTATTGTAAGGGGAAGAAGATAGATGATCGTAGAGATCTTGTCAGTGAAGTGAGTTGCAAAGTCTGAGGCGGTCAAGTTAGTAAGTGGAGGAGGAACAATAGGGTGAAGAAGAGGGTTAAATGTGTGAATTAGTCGTTTGGGTTTTAGGGAGTGTGTGTTTATGAGGGTATTGAAGTAATTTACTTTTGCAGAGGAAAGAGCCAAGCTGTATGAGTGCAGCATAAATTTATAGTGGAGAAAGTCAGACGCACAGTGAGACTTTCTCCAAAACCGTTCAGCAGTTCTGGAGCATTTTTGGAGATATCAAGTCAGTAATAAAAATTTATTCTGTGTGCTTAATATATTGTTCTCTGTCTGCAAAAACTTCCCTCAAGATAAATACATTAAAAAAATAAAAATAATATCTTTTCATTGAATTTAAAAATAAAACAAAAAAGTATATGTAAGAAAATGAGAAAAACACAAAACAAACATTCCTACCTTTCGTACATGACAGGATCATCCATCCAGATACATGCACCTTTAGTCAGACAGTGTCTGAAATAATCTTCTCTGCTTCAATTCCAGCATTAGAATGTTTTTCACATTTTTTACACTTTATTTAAGAAAAATATATTTCCTTTCAATACTTGATGAATGGATTAAGTTAAAAAAAAAATATATTTTTTAGGTGACAGTCCTTTACGAATGTCACACTAGGGGGCGCAGCTAGCAGCAGACATTGCAGATGCTATTTCTTGAGCGGCTTGCTATCAAAGCTCAAATCTGTTCTTTTAAGGGGAAAGAACACCTTTTTCCATTCCTACTTTGACAAGCACTGGCTGCAGGAAGCCAAGAGGAACCTGCGGATGCCTTTTGTTTTTAAGTCGTGACCAAAATCTCATGCCGGCAGCTTTAGAGGAGAGGCGCTTTCAACAGAAAGCTATAGAGGCTTCCGTGTGTACTCACCTGATTCCACACCAGGCTGTGATAAACAGCCAGTCATGGCAAAAGACAAGCGAGATATCGGTACCCTATTTCACTGTATTCCACAAACTAAAGGAGACTTGCCAAATGATTATCTCACAACAGTAAGCACTGCAACAGCAGACCTAGATAGTTCAGTCCTCAAACACGATACCCACAATTTATTTGCAGACATTCAAAAAATTGTTTGCAGCCTACATCGCTTTGGTGAAGGTGGAAGTACAGGCCGTTACCACCAGTGTTAAAGCTTTGGAAGAGGACATAATGTATTTCAAGCAGAATCTGAACACCTTAAGGGAAATGATACAGAGACTGCAAACCCAACATTCTTCAGTCACCATGAATGAAAAAGGTTGTCCACTCTCTTATGATGGAAGAAATGCCACATTTTATTAGGCAATTAGAAGTTACACTGTGACCCGCAAAACAAGCCAAACCATTTATCACTGATGGTGCCTTTGGCATCAAAAAGTCTCCCCATGTGCCAGCTTCTGATCACAAAGAAATTATTCTATGCCGTTGAACACTTCAAAATAAAAATACATTTAAGAGCAGCTCTCAAGACATAAGCACCCTTAAACTTACATTCTTCAATGAACTACATCGTAGAACCTGGCATTGGCAGAAGTCAATGCAACCCATTACCAAGAAGCTTTGGAAGGCAGGTGTTAGTTGCTGGAATGTTTCCATGTAACTTTCACTCTCTATAGAAGGAAAATTATATAAGGCTACCAACCAGACAGAAGCATTCATTTTTTAGCCCTTAGCTTTGGAGATGGAATACAGGAACAACTGGGGCTTTACCCCAACCATACGTAGAAGGTGGATAATGTGGCTGATTTTACACCCAGAAGGAGCCAGGACCCTACGATGTAATTGTAAATAACTTGGTTTTCCATATGTATTTGTTATGTTTTACTGTTTTACATCATTTTCAGTTTATACCTTCTAACTAACTAACCTTAATGCTCTGGGAGGCGTCTATGCTGTTATTATTTCATAGGTTCCCATATGGTGTCATATTACTTATTTGTTTATCGTTATCACCTGCAAAAATTAAGAATAAAAAGAATCTCCCACAAGAGACTTTCAAAACCTACCACAAAGCCCAGTGCAACAAGTGGCTCTCCTTCATTAAGGTGATACAGAAACGATCCTCCATAGGTATGTCTATCCAAAGGCCAGCCCACCGTGTGCTCCACCAGACCAGGCTTCCACTTCTTCTCATCAATAATCCACAGCTAAAAAAAGAAAAGCAAAAAACAAACCCAGAAAAATGAAATTTTAAAATTGGAAACATGTACTGTGCAGCACAACACATTTACAACGCTATGAACATCCTGGGAGTCAGCTTACCTTATGTGATTAAATTCCAACAGGGTTATTTACTAAAGTGAAAAATCCAAGTGAATTTGGAGTGAATTTCATATTTTAGGCCAGAGTAGCAAAACTGAAAGTATAGCGGACTGAGAATATTTTTCCAGTTTGACTATTATGACCTTAAATGTAAAATTCCCTCAGAACTCTCACTTTAGTGGATAACCCTATAAGTTGTCCTCCCAATGCCATCTACTCTGTTCTTTTGCCTGCTCCTCAAACCCTAGTATGCACATTTTCACACATACATTCTAAACCATTTCTCTCAAAGGTGGCATTAGCGGACGGTCTCATCTTATCTGCGCCCAAAGGAAAAACTTCTGTACCAGTGCCAAGGCCAGAGAAGACCGGTGCCGGGAGGACAACGGAGTGATTAAACCATTTGAAAATGTAAGATGACCTCCGACCCCTATAATGTCTTAATTGAGATGATGTTGTTGGGGAGAATTTGTTTTAACGAAATTTCACTTTAAAATATGTAAAGCAGCTAAACACCGCAATCAATAATAATAAAAAAATTAAAAAATACAAACATAAAAAAAACATACAATTGTTTCAAAACACAGCCTTATTTGTTTTATGCTATGTATCTTGGTGTAATTGCCCCAAGGAAATGGAGTTGTTATTATAAAAGTTCAAAATATATGTACTTTTGTTAGTAGCAGATGTTCAGCATTATTATGGCCTGACAAGAAGCCCAAAAACCGCAGTTTGGAGGATGTGTTTGACCTCTTAAAAAAAATAAAAATAAATTATATATATATATATATATAATATATTTTAGTGTAATATTCAGTGAATGCTATTAACCCCATCCAAGGACACAGCTTCAGAAGCTGGACTTACCCCTAAGGACACAAGAAATATTTGTGTTCAACTGCAATTCACATCTCTCTCATATATAGTACCAACACATTATATACCATTTTTAGAGGACAAAACGAAGTTTACTTTGATGTGATATATACATATATCAATTATCATTTACTATTAAAACAAACAAAACTAAACAACAACAAAAAATAAAAAAACAAAAACAAAAACAAAAACCCACATTTTGTTCCCCACACGGTTTTGCAAATAATAGCGTATGTATATGTCCAGCTTATGAAAAGTAATTCAAAATAAATTAATTTAGGTGTATTGATTTATGGAGTGCATAATATGTGCAGGATTTAAGTTTACTTTAAAAGTTAGAGGTCTCAAAATATAAGACCTACAATAAAATTTAAACGTGAAACAATTTTAGAAGTGGGTATGTTTGTCTTGTAACTTTAATAGCCATCACAGAAAATAAAATTGCCACACAAAAGCACATATTATATAAAGAAGACATCACAGGACATTTAGCCAAGATTATTATTATATATTTTTTAATTCTTTATTTTTATTGTGCATGAGATAACATAATAGCTGACGATGCCACAACAGCATGGTACAAGCTCAGTAACGCAGGATTTTCACATAAATGGCATTGAGTTATAGGCACTTTTTGTATTTGTATGAGGATAATCAAGCTGGGTACATACATCTAATTGTAAGTCACAAGAGTGACAAGCGGTAACCTCAGTATGCATATCGTAGTGGGCATTGCGAGAGTGACTATGATGTATCGTAATGAGGTGTGTTGATTGTATGACTTGTCTGGTTAATGCTATACAGCTAACTGGTTTAAGATAGGCATTAGGATGGCATGCTGTGTGTTCTGAGAGTTATGCTGAGCCGATTGTAAGTGAGATAAGACAGACATGAGAGTTGGTAATTAGTTAAAACCTTAACTTGCTTGCATATGTGTTTGAGTCTAGTTACTGTTAACATTTGGGCGATTTAAACTATGAGTGAGACCCCTCTGTGATCCCCTGTGAGATAACGTGAGAACATTAATTAAAGAAGAGAAATTAAGAGTCTTCAGATAAGGTAATTGTGTGAGTTCAATTGGGGCAGATAAAGAAATGCTGACAATGGGCACTTTGCCTGGTGTTAGATCCCAGTAACTGTGGGGTCAGCCGATGTCTTGTTGGAGCTCCTGTGCCGTGCGGCAATGTGGTTGTCGGTAAGTATAGTGCCCTCCTGGCTGAATGCTGGCTGGGGTTACCTGTCTTAGGCTGGGGCAGCGCCATGTTTGCCTTCTTGCCGCAGTTGCCTCTCTAGGTCTTTCGCCCCTCAAGAACGCCTGTCGGGTCAGGCTGGTCTTGCCCCTCTGGTGCTTAGGTCGCGGGTAAGGGTGTCGCAGGGGTCTTCTCTTTGGTATCTTCCAGGACCCAGGCCCCGGTCTGGTGTTGTTCACCCTATGGCTTGGTTGTGGTCTCGAGGGGGCACTCTGCTGTAGCTTGGCTTTCGTAGGTGTATTGTCAAGGGGAGCTCCTGTATTCCTCTGCTGGATACCTCGTGTGAGGTGCATGGCCCCTCAGCAGTGAGTGTTGTGTGCGCCGGAGGCTGCAACCGAGCCGTCAACCGCTGCCAGAAGGAGGTGAAGATGGTATTGAGTCGGTGCTCCGTTTCCAGCTAGGCAAGTTGTGTACAGGCTGTGAGGGCGGTATCTGCCATTTTAGGAGGCTTTATGGTGATAAGTGTAGATCTCATTTTAGTGGTCGCTTTCCCACCGCTTTGCGGGGGTAGACTGGGATAACCCCCACCGGTTCGGGGAGAGGGAAACAGCGGCTCAAGGCTTGGAGCTTGGTCGATCGTGGCGTTAGGAGAGCAGACGTCTCTCCTGTGCCCACCGTCCTTATAAGCCTCACCTTCGTGTCGGGTGATTGGAGGTTTGGTTAGTCGCTTATTCGGTATCCGTGTGTACCCCCCGATGCCACCACACTCTGGGTAGCCTTTCTGGCCCAATTGAGTACCGTTTTGGCTTGTAAAAGTCAGCTTTTTTTGCTGTGGTTCTCAGGAGCTACTGTGGTTAACGTCTTCTCTGTTCCATGGTCAGGCCCCGCCCCCGAGCCAAGATTATTTTGACACTTTTTATGCCATTTCACCACCAATCTCTGCTAAATATTGTAGTAAAATAGTTTGACATAAAAACATATAACAAGATTTTTTTAAAGTGTATTTCGTAAACCTAGTGTGTGCTATTGCTGTACAAAACCCCATATGGTGTTCAGCTATATCTGCTGAGTACAATGTTACCCCCTTTGTATGCATTTGGCAGTATTCTGTGAAGCTACAATGCCATATATTTAGGTTCTATAGTTGGAATTGTCATGGATTTGATAGGCCAGTGTCTGATTTTGTGGCATTATAGCAGTTTGACTGTTCAAATAACCCCACAAAGGCATTTCATTTCAGAAAGCAGACACTCATGGGTATCTTATATGACGTATATTGTGCCTTAACTTGCTGCCATGCTTTCACCAATTTATGGCAAAGTTTGTGGTGAGAAAAAAAAAAGAAAAAGCCTTTTTTTCTTTACATTTTTTTAACACACGTTGCATTTTTGCTTTGTACTTTGCAAATTTGATCTGTGCCATTTCCATAAAATCAAATTATGCTCAGTTACATCTTATGAGTAAAAAAACAATATGTCCAATGTATGACAGACACATTTTGTGAAGTTTAGTGCTGTAAAAGAGATGTTACAAGTTCAGGTTTTTAACAGTGAATTTTCATAGATGGTTTTGATAAATCTATGTCACATTTTGGAGTATGTTAGCAGGTTGCTTATTCCAGCTACCCCATAAATGCATACCACTTCTAAAAGAAGACACCCCAGGGTATTTCCAAAGGCATAATTTGAACCTTAGCGTGGAATAATTATTTCGCTAGTTTGTATTAAGTGTAGCAGTAACAAGCTTTTTTCTGCCTTTTTGACACACACAGTTTGTACTGTATATTTTGCAAACCTTATGTGTGCTACGGCTGTATAATACTTCATATGTTGCTCAACTATGTCATCTGAGTATAGCAATAACCCCGCATGTACCTTTGCCATGTATATGTGGAAGTTGAAAGGGCACATTTGAGACACAGCCATTCCAGTTTTTTTTCAAACTTTACATTTTTGCGCTGTGTCTATGTCCCATTTTGGAGTATGTCAGCAGGTTGCTTTTTCCCCCCAACTACCCAACAAAGACATACCATTTCTTTAAAAAAAAAACAAAACAAAAAAAAAACACCCCCACAACCTTAGGGTGTTTCAAAAGCATTTACCAAGTTTAGAGGTAACAAGCATTTTATTTCCTTTTTTAAAAACTTTTTTCTTTTTTTACTGTTCACCCTTAACTAGCCTAACAATAAACCCCCTAATTTCTCCACTAACTTCTACCCACCTAGCTAAATAAATAATTTATAAATATTTTAGGGACTAAATAAATTTAACCCCCGAGGGCTAAAAAAATAATAATAAAATAATAAAAGTTAACACAGCAGTTAAAAAAACAAAACAAAAAAAAACAGATCACAGAAACATAGGGTTTTTTACATATGATTTGTTTTACAACAGTGCACACTACAAAAATTGTTCCACAAAGTGAGGGCATTCATGGAAAAAGTGCTAGTACTGAAAATTAACCCTTCAAATACCTCTTTAAGGCCAATTGCATACGTCTGTGGTTCACAGTTCTCTCTTAGATTGAATTGCTTGTACAACTGTTTGGCAAGATGCCCGTGGCAGCCTTCACCAAAGATAGTAACTTTTGCATGTAGCTCCAAACCTCGCTCAAAAGTACCCTAAAAAAGAAGTTAAATGTGTTACTCAAGTTTAAATAGAACTGTTGTTGCCAGGTCTGGAAAAAAAAATCAAAATAGTGTTTAGATGAGAACTATATCTAATACATCTATAAAATAGAAGGATGAATTAGAATTCAATAGATTAAGGTACTAGAGCCTTAAGCCAAAATCAATAACATGGCTTTTAGAATATAGCGAAGATGCTACAGAGCTGTATGTGTGGTTTGCTTAATTAACAATATTGAGAACAACAGGCTTTTCTGACAAATCTTAACGGAACATTATTGAGGCACCTGGATAGAAGTTGTGAAAGCCCAAAACAAAATATTTGATATCTAAAATAGAATACTTGTTCCAGGTGCCAAACACAAGCTTGTATTACCTTTGGGGAGCCATCTTTCTGGATCCCTACATCATTAGTTGCTATGCCTTTAACACTGCCATCTTCATGGAAAAGTACCTGAAAAGAAACACAATTAGTCATGTATTAAAGGATTGAGAAAATATAGAACCATAAAAAGCAACATTTATCTGCAGACAGAAACAAACATACCTCTGCTGCAGCATATCCAGGATAAATTTCAACTCCAAGTGCTTCAGCTTGTTCTCCAAGCCAGCTTACTAGATGCCCAAGACGCACGATATAATTTCCATGATTATTCATCGGAAGGCCTAAAGATTATGGTGTATAAACCAATTACACAGAAACGTATGCATGTAGAACAAAATGTTATCAACAATGTTCTTAAGAAATCTGTAACTGATAAATGGCCAATCATTGATTGGAACAAAGTGCTTTATTCGTTAGCTGGAGATTAGAAGCAGAGGATTTTTTATATGTCAATTTCAAGGACAATATCTTTCAGTGGAAACCAAGTTAAATGGTTTAATACCTGGAAGGATAGGCACAGGTATCCTGTGTTTTTCAGTTAATATCCCAAACTTGTCTCCTGTTACTGGGGTATTGAGAGGAGCCTGATAAGAATAATAAAAATGAAATAATAAAATATCACTTAAGTTTAGCTGATATGATGATCAGTTCAATTCCAAAATCAATTTTTTCCATGCACAAAAATTGAGGAACAAAAATGTACACAATAATAATAAATCATGTGAGAGCCATATAAGTCTGCTCTAATGCAGAAAGAGGAGCCTATATATTGCAATGATAACATATATTATATAATGAAAATAACCTTAAAAATGACTCTCTGTGGACTATGATCACTGCATTTGCTGTAATAGAAATTGTTCTAGCACTATGGGCACATCTGCAATTATTGCCAAAAGGCCTTTTTTAAACAGTATGACAAAACCACAGAGAATCTCTTCCACCCTCTCAGCTGGAGCTTCGCTTTCTCATTGTCTGTCCAAACATTTGTACAGTATGAGAAGGCATTGTGCACTCATGTCAATAAGAGGCTGAGTGAACCGGTATATAGGAAGAATCAGGCACGCTCATGTGACCATCTACCCCAGTGATACTGTATCAATCTGACAGTGCTGATGGGACTGCTAAGATTTTTTATTTGACCAAATTCTCACATAACCTTATGCTATCTCTATATAGTTGGATGTATGGGAGAGGTAACTGCAACCATTTTCAGGACTATTTAATAAAGCCATCAAGAGTCCATTGTCTATGAGGAGCCCAAAACCCTGCGTATTATAACAGAGCTTCACATGCCATCTACTGAACAATGTGGGTTGTCAAACTGGTATTAATAGTACCAGTCTACAGCATCTTGTATTCTTTCTGCATTTTATTGTACCAGTAGACATTCCTGGACACAGTCACATCTGTAGCTGACCTCTAATTTTAGATATTTGTTCTATTGCATATTGATTTGATGTTTTCCATATAGTCATATAAAATGTATATATCATGGGTGCACAAAAGGTAGATCCCTGGGTGTTGCAGAACTACAACTACCATGTATCCTATAGAATGTAAGCTCGATTGAGCAGGGTCCTCTTCAACCTATTTTTCCTGTAAGTTTATTTGTAACTGTCCTATTTATAGTTAAATCCCCTCTCATAATATTGTAAAGCGCTACGGAATCTGTTGGCGCTATATAAATGGCAATAATAAATAAATAAATAAATAAATAAATAAATAAAATGTATGCCTTTAACATGCTTTTACAGTGACAAAACATCATGGAAGTTGTAGTTTTAAAACATCTTGGGATCTACCCTTTGGGCACCCCTGGTATATATTATTTTATATTAAACATAATGTATCAACTATTTTTCATTTTAAAAAAATTGCACTGCACTGTTGAGCTGCATTTTCTGATTTTTATTTCTGCAATGTTTACTCTAATATTCACAGTGGACATGTTCAAAAGATGTCCAATCCATAAACGTTACTTATTATAAACTACGTTGTATGCCATTTACAAAGCTTTCCATTATTTGCCTAAGCATAGTGCCTAACAAAACACAACACCATAAACAACGTTGTCAGAAAGAATAATTTCATTTAAGCATGTAATTGCTCAATTACGAACAGCTAAAAGCCGGTGTCTGTTCAACAACAAATGACAGCAGCAGGTTACATACAAGATGAACAGATAATTGATAATAAAACCCGTTCTTAGACTGTCATTTGCATTTTCAAGTGCTTTTTTTTGCCTTTCATCATCAGTGCAAATGTTTTGAGTTATATCTTTAATTAGTCAGCATGCACAAACATTGTGCAAACAGCAGATTTATTTGCTCAGCCTATAATGTTCACCTTTGCTCACAAGAGATCATGTGAACTCCACATTTAATCACTGAATGTGCACAATGCCTAAGCAGTCTTCCAGATTGATCATCACAGAGATGGAATGCCCAAAGGTGAATATTTGTTTGGGATTCAAGGCTCTTTTATGTGCTATGTCTTGATCAACAGTTAAAGAAATACTCCAAGCACCATACAGCCCTCTGTACAAACACTATGACAACTTACCTGGAGTCTGCTGGGCCAACATGGCTTTATGTGCTAAGACACAATATAGACAGACACTCCTGTACTATCTAAGCCAGTGTATTAAAACACAAGCAACATTTCATGCCTTATTAAGAGAATTTATCAAGCTTTCTCAGGCTTGGAACAGCACTTGTTTTTCAATAAATTGCCTTTATCTGGATGTGGAATTCCTGATCTTTGTCATTAAATGGAGTGAAGAAGCCCTGGACCATGTGGCACTTGGTTAGTGCCTACATACACATGTGCTTTCTGTGTTTTATTAACAGCAACAGGGTTTGGCTCATAGATATTATTATTATTATTATTATTATTACACAATTTCTGGTTTACTTTAATTTTGATAATCAGGAGCACAACAAATGTCAACATCTTAAAATTGCCAACAGGTCATTACATACATTCTATAAACAGAAAAACAAAATCAAAACAGCAATGTGACAGTGTGGACATACCCCTCTTTCCTTCCAATCTGGGAAAAGTTCCTGCAGTGCCCTGGGCTCCAGACAAGCTCCCGACAGTGTGTGTGCCCCAAGCTGGGCTGCTTTCTCCACCAGGCACACGCGCACCTCTTTATTGGATTCGGCTGCAAGCTGTTTCAGGCGTATCGCAGCAGAGAGTCCAGCTGGACCACCTCCCACTATCACCACATCTGCTTCCTCTGCAAACCTTTCCATGTTTACTCCTGTCAGCAAAATATGTTAAATGAAAATTAGTGTAATAGTCACCTTGGTTTCATGTAAACTGTAAAATACACTAGACACCATTAAAATAAACAAAGAAAAATAAACAAATATAAGAATGCTTTAAAGTAGCATAAGTGATTAACAGTTTTAAAGTAAATGGGAGGTCAACACAAACATTTATGTTGCTTGCTTCTATTTATCAAAAACAACGTGACTGAACTTTTCCAAGCATCAACATGTTGTTTACATTTTTCTTGCTGGAAGTATTTTCAATCTTAAACATTCTATTGATTTCTGCTGATTTCCACTTGTATATTAAGCTAACAAAGTGCTAAAAAGCAACAATTAGTACTGTATTCCAAGTCTAGATTTGGCACATTGTTTTTGGTTTACCAAATAATTTGCAGGTTCAGGTTCCTTAACAAAGCGTTCTTTAATTTATAGATTACTTATTTATTTATTTATAAAATACTTGACTATGAAGGATACATTGAGATTTCTCTTGTTTTCAAGTATTTCCCTATGAACTATGCCTTGGGGTAGGTACCTTCCCATCTTTTGTCATGTTCTCGAGGACAGATGGTGTAGTGTGTGGTAATGCGTGGCACAGATGACGAAGCCCATCTCTTGACGCAAGAAGTCGGTAGACCATTCTTCAAAGGTGTTAAGTAATGCAGACACTGATGTACTGTGTGGAGGGGGAAAAGTAAAGTCATATTTAGCAATCACTAACATATTAAAAAAATAAAAAATTACCAATTCCAAATATTATCCAATATTCCTATAAAGGAAAGAAACTGGTTAATGTAGCCTGACATTGATAAAAAAAAAAACAAAAAAAAAAACACCAAGCTCTATAGCCAATACAGTATGCCCCCTTCTCAAATGCAAGGAATCAAATCACTTTTGAATGGTTTATTTTCTAACCTGAGGCCTGCTAGGTGCTCCTAACTGCCTACACTACTAATTGCTGGAACTTCCATTAGCTACCCCGAGCTAAGCCCTGTTGGGCTAACTCATTGTCTGACAACAATCAGTTTACACTCTCAGCCAATGAGATAAGACCATTACAGGGCTTAGTTCAGGGGAGCTAACAAATGAGAAAAAGAAAATTAATGAAGCGCTATAGATGTGTTCTGACGTCAAATAAAATCACAATTTTTTTGGAGTGTATTAAATGCAGAGTATCTAAAAAGTATAAATACATAAAAGAGTATCAAAATGATATGAATATAAAATGTACAAAACATATACAAGATGTATACAACGTACACAGAAATTCCTGCAGAGGTGTGAAGCGGAGACTGACAGAGCCCAGGTAAGAAGTCAAAGAAATGGGGGAGGCAGAGTACTCTTTGCAAAAAAACACCACAGTGAGCTGTAGTGTTAATGGTGTTTGGAGTGTTCCTTAAACAATTACTTCATTGTGTTATTTGCAAAATATTTATTAAAGTGGATCAGTGACTTCTCTGGAAGTAACAGTCCCTCATTCCCTCACCACAGTAAAGTAAGTCAACGCATTTACCAGGATAAGGAATGCAGAGGAAGTAAGTTAAACACATACATTTGTGATCAGAGAGATTTTCCCACCCCATGATGCCTTGTGAGCACTTGCACACTCAAGCATTTCTTCAGTAGTGTTTGTGCGCACACTACAGGGGTTTACTGAATTTCCATGCAATGCTAGTCAAAGAGGGCACATAACTGGAAAGATACATAGAGACAATTTTTAATTATTTAGTTTATGTTGAATTAGTATACAACTTATGAACTGACAGAGACAATACTCCAATTCTAAAACTTTAAAACACTGTTTTTTCATCATATAAAAAAAAATAATATTTTGTGTGTGTGTGTATATATATATATATATATATATATATATATATATATATATATATATATATATATATATATACTGTATATATGATGAAAACATTTTTTTAAGTTAATAATTGGAGTATTGTCTGTCAGTTCATAAGTTGTATACTAATTCAACATAAACTAAATAATTAAAAATTGTCTCTATAATCACCCTCATCCCAAAGAAAACTAAATGAATATACATTAATAGACTGCAATCACTTAGTAAAAGGATATGTGAAGAAATGACAAGTGGATTGCAAACAGTAAGCCTTGATATCCAAATTATCTTCCCTGCCTGTGTATGGACCGGGCTGCCATTCCCTTCCCTGCCTGTGTATGGACCGGGCTGCCATTCCCGTCCCTGCCTGTGTATGGACCGGGCTGCCATTCCCGTCCCTGCCTGTGTATGGACCGGGCTGCCATTCCCGTCCCTGCCTGTGTATGGACCGGGCTGCCATTCCCTGCCTGTGTATGGACCGGGCTGCCATTCCCGTCCCTGCCTGTGTATGGACCGGGCTGCCATTCCCGTCCCTGCCTGTGTATGGACCGGGCTGCCATTCCCGTCCCTGCCTGTGTATGGACCGGGCTGCCATTCCCGTCCCTGCCTGTGTATGGACCGGGCTGCCATTCCCGTCCCTGCCTGTGTATGGACCGGGCTGCCATTCCCGTCCCTGCCTGTGTATGGACCGGGCTGCCATTCCCTTCCCTGCCTGTGTATGGACCGGGCTGCCATTCCCTTCCCTGCCTGTGTATGGACCGGGCTGCCATTCCCTTCCCTGCCTGTGTATGGACCGGGCTGCCATTCCCTTCCCTGCCTGTGTATGGACCGGGCTGCCATTCCCTTCCCTGCCTGTGTATGGACCGGGCTGTCATTCCCTTCCCTGGCTGTGTATAGACCGGGCTGTCATTCCCTTCCCTGTCTGTTTACAGACCGGGCTGTCATTCCCTTCCCTGTCTGTTTACAGACATTTGCTGCGGAATTAAATCCCACCGTTATTCTTTTTCTACGTGACCTTGCCTTCATAATAACTTTATTACATGCTGTATTAAAAAAGATAATTGTAATAAAAATGTATATTCTATAATTAAAAAAAATAAAATGGGTCATAACAAATCAAAGGAAAGTTCAAGCTGGTGGTCTACAAATCACAGGAGAACGTTCAGCCCAATCAGGCATTGCTCTACAATATACGCAGAAATGCAAAGTAAAAAAGGTTAAATTCTACTATGTAAGCTGTGATACTGTCTACATAGTGAGACATATATACACACACAATTCCCAGTCCCATGACCTTTCCCCTACATTGAAGTGTGACCAGCAGGGGCAGAGACTGAATTACTGTTTGCAAGGGCCAGGGAAGGACACATCCCTTGCACACACTGTATTTTTTTATGTTTATGCAATATATGTATATAGGAATAAACCACCCTAATCACACATACACACACTGGAGCTCTGACCACAATTATACCTTCCATATCCCACCCAGCAACCAGCAGCTGTAAATGATTGCCACAAACCAAGTTACTAACCTGCTACTTACTGTGGGTTTACAGATACTGAGTGGCAGGTGCTGGAGCACTTACCTTGCAGTGTGTATTTGGAGAGAGGCAGCATGATGAGCTATGTCCCAGGACAGAGGGCAATGCCTCTACTAACCTCCCACGCTCCCACAGTATTCTATAATCCTGCTGTGCGCACTGAACCTCAGCAACACATAACCTTCTCCGGAGCGCAGGGCGCATGCGCCGGATAGACTCGCAAAGCTTGACGGGAAATGTAGTGCTGTGACATTCTAATGTCAGTCATTGATCACAGAAATGGACTTTAACCATAGAGATGCGCTTAGAACCAGGAGACGCAGAGAACACCTTGTTTAGTCAGCTGACACGCTGTCATAATAAAATAAATACACTGACCTCACTGTTCTTACTTATCCTTGTTTATTTGTTCGTGGCACGCAGGTTATATAAATAAATTGTATTACTCTGTGCTGTCATTGGCTCTTTTTTTTTTTTTTTACATTCTGAACAATAATTGGGTAAATGCACAATTGATGAAAGAATCCCAAGTTAAATGTTGCATGTGTTTTTGTGTGCAGTGTATTGTTAAAATATTCTGGGTCAGGGTCAGATTTAAGAGCCCAGTGGGCCTGGTGCTGACAATAATGATGGGCCTAATTTCAAAATCTTATTTACCAAAAACACTAAAACAGTCCTAAGCGTCATGTATCTGATGTAGATGGTGCTGGAGGGAAACTCAAAGGATGCAGCTATGAGAAAACACATACCCTATGCTAATCTCACGCTTTCATCGTCAAGTAAACCTATACCCCCTAATAGCAGTGTCCAGTAAAGCAGGAAGTCTGTGGATGGGGTAAAAGGGTGGGCCACTGACACAAATCTGCAGAAAGTGGCGAACATACACAAAAAGGGGGCATGTCTGTGTCCCCATGTCTCCAGTCCCTTAGTGTCTGTGTCCCCATATCTCCCAGTGTCCCCATGTCACTAGGACACTAGGCGACATTGAGAGACATTGGGACACTGAGATACTAGGGAACACTGAGAGACCTGGGGACACCGACTCTTGGGGACACTGGAATGGGCCTATTCCATGGGCCCTGGAGCTGCAGCTCCATCAGCCCCATTGTTAATCCGGCCCTGTTCTGGGTCAATCCTTGAGTTCCATAATGCTGGGTGGAAAGTTCTGGTCACTTCAACGACTGCGCTTTTCATTGGTACATCGTGCTCCCTCCAGTCTTTGGTACCATTCAATGCCTCACCATCTTCTCTGTCACCCCTCTAAATAGTACCCTGTTTGGTGGTCCTAGGACCGAGAGCGACCTCAAAGAAGTTTTACCGTATCGCGTCAACTTCGTAATTGGATCTGTTGTTCCAGGTGGTTTGTTGGTTGCTCCTGGTCAGGCGCACCATGCCTCTGCAAGTACCCTCCTGTACTCTGTTGTCTCCTGTACTGCTGGATAGGGTGGAGAACTGGGAGGAACCGTCTGGAGGAGGAATATGTGATTGTATATAGGGGGAGGTGGTGGTTGGGAGCCATGCACAAGTCCTCAGTGACTGGGTTGTCTGTTACACATATGTTTTGCAATGTATTGCTGCTTGTAGGTAGTAGACTCACTGTGTAAATGAATGGAAATCATTTCTTTAGCAACCAGAATTCGTAGCAGCCGGATGTAACGTCATCTTGAAATCCATCTGTCGACCCCTGGGACTGTGGGCCGGTATAAGTTCAAGTCCAGTACACAGCTGCACCAGTCCAAGATGAGAGGTCACCAGGAGGGGAGCAGCAAGTAGTATGGCCAAGCAGTTTCCCTCTACCCTGTCTGACAGGAAGTGTTCACTGAGAGCAGCTACTCGCCACATTGGCGAGAGCAGGTACCGAGGTGGATGAAGGAGAGACACATGGAGGGGCTGGTGGAGAATGAGACACATGGGAGGAAATGAGACACATAGAGGAGCTGGGGGGGTGGGGGGGGAGAATGAGAGACATGGAAGGACTGGGGGTGTGAATGAGAATCTTGGAGGTGCTGGGGGAGAAGGATTCACTTGGAGAAGCTGAGGGGGGATGAGACACATGGAAGAGCTGGAATGGGGAAAATGTGACATATGGAGGCGTTGGTGGTGGATTAGACACACAGAGGAGCTGGGGAGCATGAGACATAGAGGAGCTGGGGAAGAATGAGACACATGGAGGAGCTGGGGGGGAGAATGACACACATGGAAGGACTGGGGGTGTGAGACAAATAGAGAGACTGGGGGGATGAGAAACATGGAGAAGCTGGGGGTAAAAATAAAACACCTGGAGGTTGAAAATAAGACACATGGAGCGACTGGGGTATGGGAAAATGAGATACAAGGGGCGCTGGGAAGGGCAATTTTTGCACCGGGGCTTGGTGGTTTCTAGTTATGCCTCTGGATGTAAGGGCTACTTTTTATGTAATTAACTTCTCTTAACAAAACTTGAGAAAAGGCAGAGCTACTGCTGTCATGTTTTGTCAATACCCTCACCCGTTGGCCGGAAGTAAAAAGCCATTGTCTGTGGAGTCACCAGGGGTCTTGTGGGATCCTCTTTAGATATCAGATATTGTACTTTTGCAATTCGAAACATGCAATTCAAAGTGCTTCTGAAATTTAAAGCCCAACTAGCAAAACTGAAAATAGCATAGAATTTTCCAATTTTTCTATTTTGGCCTAAGCTTTTGAAATGCACTTTGAATTGTCAGCAATTCTCTTTTTAGTGAATAACATTAAATGTTCACTGACACACTTCACTGACATATAAACACACATACAGTCACACCAGTTTACACACACACCAAATTAGACACATACATGACCAAGTCACACACATACACACTCACACCACTTTTAAGGGATTCTGGTTCACAGGCAGGGGACAGCTGGGATACCAAGTCATGTCATTGCATGCCCTGTCTACAATGTGCTCAAGTTTATGCTTGGGCATAGGTGGTCACATTACAGTAATTGTGTGCACTGAGCGGCTGAAGTCACTCTCCCTCAGCACAGAGCAGCCACCAGTAAGTATGATGCACTGAGATGAAGAATAGGGCACCCAGTGGGGAAGATTAGCACTAAGGGGTGGCAACGGCCCCGGTCCCAGACAATAGGTGCCCACTAATTATTACATCTTGTCAGATTACACAACTAGATGAAAGACCATGCTGTCCAGCACGCGAGATAAGCCAGCTCAGATTTATAGTCATAGCGTCTGTCAGTGAAATGATAATGTACGCACACATTTCTAGGCAAAGCTGTGACATTTTTCTACTGCATTTTTTCCATTCACCAGTTACGATACTTACAACCACTTATCTACACAATACACTTACTGACTCCCCCTCCGCGGTCTTTTTTATTAAATATTCACTTAATGTACAATTAAAAATAACACATATGCTAACTTTAAATAAAACTGTGACAAACAGTGACAGATTCAAACAAAGACAGAACATGTACAGCGCTACGGAATTTGTTGGCGCTTAATGAATTATGATATTAATATTGTGTGGTTGTTTGAACTATAGATCTACACTACTAGTACCTTTTACTTTCTTTTTGTATTTGTATGGATTCACAAAAAATATATTCATCTAAGCTGGTATACTTGTGTATTAATGGACGCTTGAAATAGCTGAGAAACATGACACCAACAATATTGCTAGATTATGAATTTTTAAATAAAGTTTGGCAAATAAAAAAAAGTGGGTAAACACAAATAGAAAGATCCCATTGGTTGAAAACAGCTCGCGCTGTGATTGGCTGCCGTCTGCCCGCGCTGTGATTGGCTGCTGTCTGCCCGCGCTTGTTGTGAAGTCTGTTTCACTTGTGCCCTCCGATGACATGGCCGCCGTTGGCAGGTCCGAGCAGACTGACCCCCAGGAATTGCGGGAGGAGGTGGAGCTGCAGATTGATGATGTGAGGAGCCTTATAGCAGGTTATTGCCCGGTCTCTCCTGACTGGGTGCAGGGCGGCGCTCCATAGACTCCGGGATAGAACTGAGAATAGACTGGGGATTCTATCTGAACCTTCACATACTACTGCTCAAAGTATAGCAGCTTCGAGTTACAGCTTCTAATGTGCACGCTGCTTCTAAACAGGCTGTTCATAGGACCATTATATATATATATACTATTATTATTATTTTGTGTGTCCCTGCAGTGGCATCTAAACTAATAAACACTGAATTCCATTTATGTATTATGCTATTGGAATTTAGGATATTTTATAAGGGGGCAGTGAAGGAAGAAGGAAAAGCCAAAAAAAAAAAAAGCCAGATTTGAGCCAAATCTCTTGTTACAGTATGCCTTTCCCTCAGAAAGGTTGGGTACAAATTATCTATGCTGAAAATGTAATCAGAGGAGACCCCCTCTATCCCCCCACTTACAGATGGTTTTCGACACAACTATCCCCTCCAGTGTTTGTGCTGTGGTTACTCATTTAGCCAGCATTTCTTCCTTCTGTCACTCCATTATGACAACAGTGCGCTTGCAGCGTATTTGTACCATAGAGGAAGATGTCTCTGCATGGCAAAACGTTTCTAAGAAGGGATAATAATAACCAGAAAAGCTACAATTTCTGGGGAAATTGTGTGAAGTGTTCTTGCCTTCACTAGTAGTCTACAACTGGGGTGGGCGGAGTAACTGTTATTTATTTATTTATTTATATAGCACATTTAATTGCAGTGTTGTTGCCCAAAGTGCTTCACAGTTACATTAAAACATACATTTATAAAAACATTAGCAGGTGTACAAAAGGCCCTGTCTATGACATCACTTGCTGCTCCAGCCTGGCACAGGTCAGATTATTTTGGCGGTTGCCATCTTCAAACGGTCATATTTTAAAAACTATAAATCCTACAGCGAAGAGCTTTATATTGTAAGAATCACAAGACCCAGACTTACATTTTGATGCATAGTATGTCTCTGAAATATTAAAAATGAAGGCACAGTCGAAGCTTAGAAATTGCCCTTCAAATTTGAGCTGGCTAGAGTGGAGTTTCAATGAATGTCAATGGACGGCGTGAGTTGCAAACAAATGGTCATATTGTGAAAACTATCAGGACTATAGCTTATGTGGACGTGTTTAGTGGCAGCAGGGATAGCTGAACATTTTGATATAAGATTTGTGTAAGTGGGTTTGAAAATGAGGGAGTGGTGGCAGTTTAGAAATCATGTCCTGATTTTTCAGCTTTTGCCAGCTCCCACTCTAGTTTTGAAAATTTCGCCATTCATTCCTATGGGACCAATCTTGCCACAAAAACGACGATATTTTGTGAACCATTCCGCAAAATGTTCCACAAAGTAATAGCACACCAATCGGGAACAATCCGCACGTTTCGGTATATTACTGTCTATGTAGTGTAGAAACTGTGGGAGGAGTTAGGGTGGTAAATTTGGCTATAAGAATAATATATATGTGAGATAACATTAAGTGGTCTTGCTATGCAAAAACACGTAATAAATTTGAAGCATCTCTGTTGGCATACCATCTTCCAAATCCAGACACTACCATGATTTGGTTAGCTATGAGGCGTCTACTCGCTAACACCATGGACTGCGGCAAATTGTAATCTGCTGTGCAGGGCAGTGGGCACTTACTGTGTGCTGGGTATTGTTATCCCTGGAAAACAGTAAGTACTCACACTAAATACCTACAGTCATTACAGGGGCTGGCCAGGGGTAGGATTTATTCCCAGTAACTGGCTGTATCCCCAGATTATATAAAACAATGTCAGTGCTAGGGATCGACCGATTATCGGTCTGGCTGATATTATGGGCCGATATTCTGTATTTTCGGCAAGTAGAGATACCGATATTGCCGATAATACATACCAGGACAGCCGGGCTTGTCATGGGGGGGCCAGCAGCAAGCACTTACCTTCCCATCAACTCCCTTCAGCTCCCCAGTGTATCTCGCGAGTCTCGCGGCCGTCAGAGCGTTACCACTGGTTACCATGGCAATGCTCCACTCAGCACGCTGGCCACGATATTTACACTCGGTAGCTGAAGGGAGCTGCTGGGAAGGTAAGCGCTTGCTGGGCCCCCGCTGCACTGTCCTAGCCACCGGACCACCAGGGAATGCCAAAGCCCCCCTCCCTGGCCAGGTAACAAGCAGGGAAGGGGGAATAAAAATACATTAAAAATGCCTCCCCTACCCCCCCATTTTACACAAATTACATACCTACAGAAACACACACACTCTGCATTATATGCACACACTACACAAATACACTACACAAACACACTGCATTCAATATATTCACACACTACACAAACACACTGCATTCATTATACACATACTACACAAACACACGCTGCATTCATGATATATACACACTACGCACATTGCATTCACTTTACGCACACTACATTCACTTTACACACTGCATTCACTTTACACACACTACACACACACTGCATTCACTATATACACACACTACACAAACACACACTCTGCATTCACTATATGTACACACTCCACACACAGCTGCCCTGTCTAAACACACTGCATCCACTACATGTGGCATGTATATTTTGTGCATTTACCTTTTAGAAATAGTTTTATTTTTTTCAAAATGGTAAATGTACAGAATATCAGTAAGCTATCGGCCTGAAAGTTCACAGATTTTCGGTATCGGCTCTAAAAAAAAAATAAAAAAAAAAATCAATACCGGCCAATCCCTAGTCAGTGCCCAGTGCAGCTCATAGTAGGGAGATAGTGAGACCATATCTGGCGTGTCCTCTATTGTAAACTGCTAGTCCTATAATGCTGAGCCACACATCTGTGCCTTAGACTTACTGTAACCGCTCAGCCAGATATGTTACAGGATGGGCCCATAGATAATGCAGTCCTTCCATGAAACATGTATAGTGCCACAACTATTAGCCTCTATTAAATATATGTACAGCTCATCCCTCTTCCAAGTGGGGATTTAAACATCTGGACGTCTGTTTACTTTTACACTCATAACGTGAAGTCGGTAGGTTTAAAGTTGTGATGCTTATCTAGTTGATCCCTGGTGGGGAGTGGGGGGCACGGCCTGAAATTAAACGAGTTAAGGTAAGAGAAACATAGAAACATAGAATGTGATGGCATATAAGAACCATTCGGCCCATCTAATCTGCCTAATTTTCTAAATACTTTCATTAGTCCCTAGTCTTATCTTATAGTTAGGATAACCTTATGCCTATCCCACGTATGCTTAAACTCCTTTACTGTGTTAACCTCTACCACTTCAGCTGGAAGGCTATTCCATGCATCCACTACCCTCTCAGTAAAGTAATACTTCCTGATATTATTTTTAAACCTTTGTCCCTCTAATTTGAGTGTATTTTGTAATAATGACTTAATAAAATACTAGGGATCGACCGATTATCGGTTTTACCGATATAATCGGCCGATATTCGGTATTTTCGGCAATATCGGTATCGGCCAATTCAGATACCGATATTGCCGATAATACCTCCTAGGACCGCCGGGCTCATTACAAGCCCGGCGGTCCTGGGGGGGCGGGCCGCAAGCACTTACTCACCTCCCAGCAGCTCCTCCAGCTCCCCAGTGTAACTCTCGCGAGACCCGCTGCCGTCCGAGCGTTGCCATGGGTTACCATGGCAACGCTCCGCGCGGCACGCTGGCCGTGAGAGTTACACTGGGGAGCTGGAGGAGCTGCTGGGAGGTGAGCCAATACCACTGGTCCACCAGGAACTGCTATATCCCCCATCCCTGGCCAGGTATGAAACAGGGAGGAGGGACAACAACAATAAATAATTAAATATATATTAAAAAAAAAAGTAATAAAAAATGCCCCCCCTCACACACACACACACTCCATTATATACATATACACACTGTGTATATAATGCAATGTGTGTTTGTATAGTGTGTGTATATAAGGCAGTGTTTGTGTAGTGTGTTTATATATACACACTATACACACACTGCATTATATACACACACACACTACACAAACACTGTGTATATAATGCAGTGTGTGTGTAGTGTGTATACAATGCAGTGTTTGTGTAGTGTGTGTATATAATGCAGTGTGTGTGTGCAGTGTGCGCATATAATGCAGTATGCGTATATAATGCAATGTGTGTAGTGTGCGTATATAATGCAGTGTGTGTATATAATTAATGCAGTGTGTGTTTGCATAGTGTGTTTATATAATGCACACTTCACAAACACACTGCATTATATAAACACTATACAAACACACACACTCTGTATTATATAAACACACTGCATTCATTATATACACTACACAAACACACACACTTTGCATTTAGTATATACTGCATTCACTTTACGCACACTACCCACACACTACACAAACACTCTGCTTTCATTATATACACACAACACTAATACACACTGCATCCACTACACACTAGACAAATACACACTGCATCCACTACACACTAGACAAATACACACTGCACACACTACACAAACACACACTGCATCCACTACACACACTACACAAACACACACTGCATCCACTACACAAATACATACAGCTTCCCTGTCTAAACACACTGCATCCACTACACGTGGCATGTATATTTTGTGCATTTACCTTTAGAAAGTTTTATTTTCCAAAATGGTAAATGTACAGAATATCGGCAAATTATATCGGCTATCGGCCTGAAAGTTCACAGAATATCGGTATCGGTATCGGCTCTAAAAAATCAATATCGGTCGATCCCTATAAAATACACCATTTGCTTTGCATAAAATGGAAAAATAACAAAATACGCTAAAGTACACTTTCACCCTAAAACCGGTAGAATCCTGTTGGGAGTGAAGAGAACCCCACTAGAACGATACAGATACTTTCAGTTGCAACACTACTATAGGGTTCTGAAACATCGCTTACACTTGGAACATACAGGCTTCGAACAGTTGCACCAGTCAGGTATCTCAAAACTCTATAAGCTTGTGACGCCCCCATCCCTACAATTCACTGCCGTGTGGGAGGTGGACTTCCTGAGTTTGCTTTCTGATGAGCAGTAAGAGGATATGTTTCTGTTAGCATATAGTATATAACTATAATATAAGGCCAGGGACTAATGAAAGTATTTAGAAAATTGGGCAGATAAGATGGGCCGAATGGTTCTTATCTGCTGTCACATTCTATGTTTCAAATTGACGAGTAGATGGTACAGAACTCTGGTGCTCCTGAATAAATCCCATCTATCAGTATTGAGAAAAAGCTGGGAGGGGGACTTTGCTACATCTGTGGTAGAACTACATACAAATAACACCTGTAGATTTGTTCAGTGAGACATAACCAGGATAATGGGGAAAGCACCACCATTCAACCCTGAATCTATGCTACTTCACCACACAACTTGACCTTCAAAAATGCTGATGCTCTCCGCCTACCACAGAATTCTAATGTTACATAAATTCACATTATCAATGTGGCTTAATACCATTTAAAATAAATCATGGGAAGGTGTCTTTAGACTCTAAATTCTTTAACAATACTTTGCGTTATCAGATTTATGGTGCTTACAGTGCCCCTTTAATTTTTTATGTAAAATATATATAATTTTTTCTTCCTTCAAACTTTAAACACAATGCTTTGTTTAAGCCACTTCTCTTCTTTTGTTTCACTAGGTTGCTTTCTCACTTACCAAACTCCTGGAGTCTACTTCAGCAGTTGCATCCCAAGTGGAAGAATTGGCAGAAAAATGTTCAGCAAATGCACGCTTTTTGAAGGCCTGGAAAAATCTTCTGAAAGAGGGTTATCAATCCTTGAATGCAACAAGCTAATCTAAAATGGAAACTGTCACTCTCTTGTACCATGGAAACAAGGGGAAATTAGACTTTGTAATTTTTTTTTTGTCTCACAGTGATTGTAATTTATTTACTTGTTAACTTTGTGTATCAAGCTACTTAGAGCAAACGGTGCACATTGATTGTCTCCATTCTCATTCTGTTTTTTTTTTTTTTTTTAAAGTTTTTATTTAATCTCTCAAATGAAAAATGTATAAAATGGATGCCAAAAAACACACAACTAAACACCAACACAAAAGATATTCACTGTATATAATGATACATATGAAAATTTAGATTCCTGTAATAGTTCTGAGATATGAAAGAGTTCAATGCACCAAAATATGCCGCACCTCCTATGTGCTAATACAAAATGATAATTTCATAATGATAAAATCTTTATGCAATACTCATACTGGCTGTGTTGTAATTTCAGTGAAATTCCAACCCATTAAAAAGATATACTGAGACAAAGTAGGGACTACATTGTCTCTGTATTTTTTCTACGCCTGACACGTCTTGACACTGGTTGTAGCTATCACCATCTAACAGCAAATAATGCAGTCCCCAGATGGTGACAGTGCTGCTTTAATATCTAACATGGAAGAAACAGAACAAGAAAGAACCAATGACAAGATCCAACAGAGAAATGTGGTGAAGAGGATTTGAGTAACACCAGAATGTATATGAGGAAAAGTAGCAGGTTAAAGAAATGGGAAAAAAAGGAAGTTTGTGTGTAGGAAGGAGAGTGGATGATGAGGTGCAGGTTGTCGAAAGTAGGAGCAGAAGTGGCATGACATATTGTCCTCAATGAATGGTATGAAGTAGGTAGAGTACATACCTATCTACTTATTTAATATACGGCAAGCAGATGTCATAAATACTGACGAGTAAAGATTGGAAATCTGTAAATCCATAGTGTCTTGTGCCCTTTTTCTATTCAACATGGCAGTGTATGTGTGATATGTTTAGCTTTATTTTCACTGTTTGTAAAATGCATTTGACGTAAGCATTATGTGGTCTCTGTACTTGTAACACTTGAACTGTATGGAGGATTTTAAATTTTCAAATCTAAATGCTGTCTCTCATATCTAACCATATATGACATCAGATGCTGTATGCTATTTCCCAATTTAGGTGATGTGCCTTACGCTGTGTAGTGTGTGGTTCCTAATCACAGGTCAGCTCTGGGACATACTGTACATTAGGGATGTGCATTCGCAAAATATTCAGTTCGGCTCAGGACACTGGGAATTCGGCACTTCCGAAATTCGTGATTTTGGCAATTCGGCACTTCGGTTTGGCACTTCTGAAATTCGGGACTTTGGCAATTCCGCTAACCAACACAACCACTTTTAGGGTTAGATTCCTGTCATCATTCCTGTAATTTTCCCTCCCTCTCCTATTTTGCCACTTTTCAGAAATCCTAAGCACTTCTGAAATTCAGCATTTCGGTTTGGTTTGGCACTTCCGAAATGCGGCAGTTCGGTTCAGGACTTCCGAAATTCGGAAACATCTGAATGTCTGAATTTACATTTGGAACTAAACAAATTGCACAGGTCTACTGTACATGTCTCTGTTTGCCTGATAATTGAGTGAGTTACACTCAATAGCTGCAAATAACAGGTGCCACCGACTATTGGTGTGTATATTATTTATAAACTCGTATGTGCAGTGTGATTGACTAGTGAAATGGGATAGTCATACCCTTTGTGACTTTACTCACTTTGCAGACCACTTTAGAAGATGTACAAACTATAATATATTAACAAAAAGCTTTAGTTTTCCTGTATCTGTCTAGACAGGCACCACCCTGCCTAGTTTGTCATAAAATCATTAAAAATATCTTTCTTTACTTACCTTGTTTCATGCTTGTCTCTCCTCCTCCCGTGGCATCATGGTGGAGGAATGGCCTTCTCCAGAGTCAATTCAATCCAATGCTACTCATAGTAGAAAATCAACGGTTTCTTATGGGTTCTGCATTCATGTGACAGAGTTTTACTGTGTTACTGTGACAGGAAGTGCCAATGGCGGTGTGTTTAATCCTGCAATGTAAACATTGCAGTTTTCTCCAAAACTGAATGTTTTACATAGCAGTATTAAACCTACAGGACTATTACACACAAGCTACTTCAGTGAGATGATCTGGATGGCCTTTAGTGGCCCTTTAAAGATGGCTACCCTAGTGAACATGGGTAAGTTAAAATATGTACTGTAACTAGGCATTCATTTATATGTACAAATTATAGCTTAGAATACAAAGAGGTTAGCTAGCTATATTACAATTAATAATTTATTTTAATAAAAATGTATCAAGTTATTATGGTGTCCTGACTGCTTTAATGTTAAGCATGCAGGGAAATTGCCTAAACAATATATAATAAATTCACTGCTTAGTATATATACCCCCAATGAAAGGCAATATTTATAAACAGCTTGGAAAAGTTTCAGATTTCTTGCCTGAAACCTTTGTAAGCCCTCTCCTTCTAACCCAATTTAGACTTTCTAATGCTGTCCAATTACAGACTTCCCAATGCAGTTTGTTGAGATGTCTTTGCAAGGCAGGTGCTCTGAACAATTGCCTCTTGAGTTAACTCCAGGACACATTCTTCACACATAAAGTTCTTCAGCAAAGGCAGTTATCTTTAGTGCTAATTGTTCCTGTAGTCTATGCAGCATTCATAGTGAAACACTACTGAATTTAACTCCTTTGGTGACGGAGAGACACCACCTCCAGCAGCGCGATGGGTTCTAATCAGCCAGTCTGGAATTTAACTTAGAAGATATTCATGGCATATCACATGAAAGCATCACCAAATGGTTACCAAGCTGCTACACCCTACACATTTTGTCCATAAGGGCATTGTATGTTGGCTTAAAACCATTCAGTCGTACTTTCATTTGATATGCTGTGAATATCTTTTATCACATTGTACAGAACGGCAGAAAGTTTTGGCACTTTATGAATAATAATTAAGTGCAAAAAAGTTGCATGTGTTTTACAACCTGCTGCACCATATATTTTTTTTTGTATTATGGAGTGCCAAGAACATGCTTTGAGACCGCATTGTATCAGGATCAATTGATTTTTTTTTTCAACACCTGCATTAATTGGTGGTTTCTAAATGCAGTTCATTCAGCACGTTAGGGGGTTATAGCCTAAACTGTTTTATATGATTTTCTCTTCTTTTGATATATCTCTATATATTTGTATCAGTGTATATCAGGACTGGGAAATCCTGGGAGCACAGAACCTCTAATTGCTGTGTTAAGTACATTTTTATAAACGTTGGTTATGGTACTTTATGTATTCACATTTTATAGAAACTGTACCAGGTAGAGTGGCTAGAGTAATAAATAAAAAACAAAAAAAATTGAACAGTTTTAAAGCATGAAATTACAAAAATGCTTAAATAATATTTATTTTAAATATTAGATTTAAATGCTGGTTAAGTATACAGTTTTCAACTTTAAAATCAATGTATTTTCTTTCCAACTTTCAGAACAGGAACTTCTATACCATTTTCCCCCAGCAGATGTCGCTTTTACTCAATCTTTCTTATCTTACTAGCTACAAAACTTTTTCATTTTGATCACTTAACTCTTCCTTCTTTTTCCTTTAGTATTTCTTTAGTGGCTAGCAGATTTGATTAGAGTAACTGTAAGTATAAATCTAAAGTATGTTCAATGAGAATTTCAGATTTTAGACCAAAATAACCAAGCTAAAAACATGGTTGAATTGGAAACATTTTCTAGTTCAGCTCTCTAGACCTAAAATATTAAAGCATATCTGGCAAATTACTTTCTCTTCATACCAGCAGCTCAATCCTCTTCTTATTTGAATCAGCCTACTCATCAGAATCATATATATGCTCTTTACAGTTGCAAAAATTTGAATATGAATATTTATTAAGTCAGTTATTAATATATCATTAACATTAGTCTTTAATCCTATTGCATACTTTAAAAAACATTTTATTTTAAAGAACCTGATGAAAATTGCTTTCCACCATTATTCATAATTTGTTCCTCAAGATAAATGCAGAAGCTACTGACCTTTCCTCCGACCAAGCAAAGGACAAACATATATCCATGTGAGATTGATGAAAATCTCTCAAGTATTCTCATTTGTAATATAGGTCTAAAAACAACAGCAATGAAGTATATAAAGTCTATGCTCACTCAACTAGAATATGGCCAAAGACTAGCATTATATATCGCTAGCTTATCTGATCACCTGCTTGTTAAACTAAAATAAAATGCAAGATATATTCTGAAATATCAGTTTGCACATTTGGTTAGGTATGTAGGTGAAGGGTTTTGTAATTATTGCAAGCCAAACTTTGAGTGAGCACTGGGTTTGAAACATGAGTACGGTCAAGGGATGCTTCGGAACTGCAGTATGCTTGTACATATATATTTATTTTAACAGTTCTCATATAGACTGTTACATATTAGATGTAGATTTGTTTTCCTTATTAAATAACTTTATCTACAAAAATGTTAAAAAACATTTTTAAAATATAATTTTAGAAGAATATCTATAGCTAACTTAATGAAATGAACAACAAACATATTCAAAACATTCCTTTTAGACCATGGATTTGAAATGTAATAATCTGGTGAATAAGTAACAACATTTGACAAAGTAGAAGAAAAAATATTTTCTCCACAAACCACACTAAACATTGTTCATTTTACTAAATGTTAGCCATTTCTTTTTATTTTTGTTCCCAGCTTTATTTTTTTTCCTTGTACTTAAATTTTCTTGTCTATGTTCACTGTTTGGCATACAAATGTAATTTGCCAGTAGAAAAATTAGTCGATGTAAAAAAAATATATTGATATCATTGCCTTAATGCCAATCATGAAGCTCCAGTAACTTGTTTTGAACTTGGCTCATCTTTGAGTGGATTTTTAATTAAGTTCAGTATGGACTAACACTTGAATCATCAGCTTCATTTAAAGGTCACTTGCTGCAACCTATCATGGCCTTTGTTCCTTGTAATACGTTAGGTAAAAAAAGGGGGTCCAGCTGCTGAGACATTAAAGAATCAACGTCATTCTTAAAACCCTAAAGGAACACTTTAACGTTAGTAATATAAATGCGTATTCCTAACGCTATAGTGTTCTCTAGCCGTTTTGTTTACCTCCCACCCAAATTAATGAAAGGTTTCATTACTTTTCCTCCCACACTAAGGTGCTCTCTCCACAGCTGGTCCCACCAACATAGCTAAGGAGGAAAAGCATTGGAAAGTTAGTGCACAGCCAATCAGATTTACATGGCTACATTAAGATGAAGTGGCCTGGGTGCCAATTACGTCCCTTAAATATAATTTTAGTTTTAGCATATGCCATCTCTTTGTATTTTGTAATTCATGTGTGTTGTAAAGTTTGAAGAACCCACTAACCTACCTTTCCCAATGCCACTTCATTAAAAAACTGTGATATACTGGGGTTTGATAATAAATACATGATTTTAAATGAGGAACAATGTGCAGGATACCTCACACAAAAGTAGAAACTTCTATAACATAAAATTAATTTTATCACAAGTTTGCACATTTAAGTTTCCATGTTTAAAAAAAAAAAAAAGAAAAGTAATTATAGAAAGTCGAGGACTTTTGTCATCTTTATTCTGTTATTTTGAAGTGAATTCCTTGAATCTAAATCATACCTTTCAGCTTAAAAAAAAAAGTAAACATTTTGAGTTGAGCAGCAGGCTGTGGGCGGTCTGGCATGAGTAGATCATTCTAAAGTCAATAGGAGTATTTTTTGTATGTAAGAAACAATTCCAAACTCCTCAAAACCTATTAGGCTTAACTCATGCGCGTCTATACAGGCAAAATGATAAAATAACCAAATCTTAATATATTTGCAATCCTGAAAAATATATATTTTTTTCCATTTGTTTTAATTAGAAAAGTATAGAAATTTGCCAACTTTAACTTTCTCCACATATTAAAGTTTAGTCCAGGGTGAACACCAAGTAGTCCACGATGCTTCACTGTCCACCATTTACAATGTGTGAAACCGTCAGACGAGTTCTTGTTTGTGCTTATGTACAACTAAGTCTAGTAGAATGTGTTGAGACTGACACTTCAGAGTCTGTATAAAGTCCAGGCTTCATTATGTCAGGAGAAATGTCTTGCAGTGGCCACATTTCTACCCAGAAGAATGAGGGGGAGTAATCCTTCTGGCTGGTTTTATTTCCACCAGATTGTCTCTGTTTATAGTTATTCCAGATTTGATTGATCATCTCTTTAAAAGGTCGTGTTGTTATAGTGTACAGGATTGGATTTAAAGCACTGTTAATAGGCAATATGAAGATCACTACCCAGGAACTGATTGAACCTAGAAAAAAAAATGCAGATATTATACAATATGCAACAAGTATATTAATTGAATGTACAATATATCCAAATATATGTATAGAAAAAAACAAAGCAAAAAATTAAAAAAGTCAGCACTGCTTCTCAAATATATCTATCTAATCGATCGATCGATCATGTGGAATTTTAAAAATAAAGTCTACTTGTCCAAGGGACTATAGTACTAACCCAATCTATTTGTCCCAAGTCAAATAATTTCAATTAGAAAGATTGGAGCCCCAGCCAAAACTCCACATCTCTGTATATACACTGTAAATGTAGGGGAAAAAAGCTTTAGCGTATTTCATTATTTTAGGTCAAAACTTAACCCAAATGCACCTCATCCCTCTGTACTGTGTCTTATTCACAAGTGTACCATTATCCTTCTTTTTCTTTACACTGACTACAATAATTAAAAATGCTAAAATACTTGATAAGAATGCAATGTAAACTCTGTTGTGACTACAGTGTTATTACCCAATTAGATGTCAATCCAATGTACTTGCATCCCTCTTTCTGTACAATGTCTGATTTAATAAGTATGATAAAATACTTTATAGCAATGCAAGGTTGTGCCTAGTGTGCCTCTCCATATAGTATATGGAGGTAATCCTATATTACCTTTATTTTATCCAACTAACCTACAATAATTAAATACATTAAAATACTTAATAGAAATGCTATGTTAAATTTGTTGTCCCTAGAGTGCCGGTCAGATCAGACTGCAGTGTGCCTATATCCCTCCACATAGTATCTGAGACCCTCCCAGGTGTATCTATATCTCCTCTAATTTTTCTGCTGACCTACAATAATTAATAGGGATGTGCATGGGCAAAAAATTCGGTTCGGTTCGGCACTTCCAAAATTCTGGACTTCAGCAATTCGGCTGAAATACTATGTCTGTTATGCACTTCCGAAATTCGGCACTTCGGTTCTGTTATGCACTTCCAAAATTCGGCACTTCGGCAATTCCCTTGCAATAACCTTACCCTAACCCCTAACACTACCCCTAATCCTAGTAAAGTTAGGGTTAGGGGTTAGGTTAGGGGTTGGGTTAGGGCTAGGGTTAGATTCCTGTCATCTTTCCCTTAATATTCCCTCCCTCTTCTGTTTTGCCACTTTTCAGAAATCCAAAGCACTTTGGCACTTCCAAAATTCGGCACTTCCAAAAGTTTTTTATTTTTTTTTTGTAAATCTTGTTTATTGAGTCATGAAAGTCAGCAAAAATTAGGCTCGCTAGCCAGCAAAAAGGTACAAAGTTAACAATATACGTTATAAAAAACAAGCGTAAATGCAATATAATAACAGCGTAACAATTCACTCTAGGATCGTAAGCTCCAATGACTGGTCAGTGTATAAGTTCTGTGTTCCCTTTCCGTGTTTGGAAGTGTTGTAGGCGAGCTTTGCCCTAGAGTGATGTATCAGTGTATGTGAGTATGTATGCGTGTGTACTCGCAAAATACAGCAACTCTTGGTGTTAACACAGCGAGAGGACGGGGCCCATCAGCCTCAGACATGATCTAGGGTGTCTAATAATAAATTGTCACCTTATAAGGTATAGAGTAGGCTACCTAGTAGCTTATCAGAGTGGAGAAGACCCACAGGTCCCGTTAACTCCATATAAGCTCAAGCGAGTGAAGATAGGGTGGTGAAGTACGTAACCTTTTCTGTCATGGTGACGTGAACGTAACCTTTTCTGTTTCCTGGGGTGTGTGTCTGAGAAGCTTCCACCTGTTTTAGGGCGCTTAGGTGCCCCTTTCTCCATAAATCATTATCTGGGCGCTTATCACTCCAAGGTCAGGAATCCTCTGCTCACTGCTTACTTGTGCATATACATGCTGTATGTATTTAAAAATAATAAGGTGCGCTGTGTCTTTAAGACCCAAAAATATATAAAGTGCAACTAAGTGCAAACAAATTGATAAAGTGCAAAGTGATACAAAGTGCACTTAAAGTGTAGAATATCAGTATAAAATATTATACATACATATGGCCTCTCAACTCCAAATATACATAGAAAGGAAAAGAGACATATAAAACCAATAGTGTGAAACCGTATTAAAATGGTAGTATGGATAATAAATGCCAATACACAAGATCCAGCGCACTCACCTATCCACTAAACATCACGTAAAGTTACCTGACGTCACGCACCCGAGAAAGCTCCTCCCCCTGGAAGTTTGAGGAAACAGACGGCCAACAGACGGCAATTACGGCGGCGAATCCGCAGAGGGACAGGTCGACACCCTTATGCTGTATGCTACCGAAGGCTCTGTAACTGAATACTAAGTGTGGAGGAAGGTGATATATTGGTGCTGTGCTGGGCAAGAAAGATTTTGGAATATTTTTTCGTCTGTGCAGTCCTACATTTGAAGAAGCTGTTAAAGCTAGAGCAGGCTTATTCTGCTCTACTTTTGTGAGTGCAATATTTGGCATTTATTATCCATACTACCATTTTAATACGGTTTCACACTATTGGTTTTTTTATGTCTCTTTTCCTTTCTATGTATATTTGGAGTTGAGAGGCCATATGTATGTATAATATTTTATACTGATATTCTACACTTTAAGTGCACTTTGTATCACTTTGCACTTTATCAATTTGTTTGCACTTAGTTGCACTTTATATATTTTTGGGTCTTAAAGACACAGCGCACCTTATTATTTTTAAGTATATTCACTAAAGTGTTTGGAGGAGTTTTACACTTGTTTTTGGTGCAGCTCTTTTTTATATTAACAGGTTGTTTTGTTTTATTTTAGACGATTTTATTACGAGCGCCTACTTTTTACTTGTTTTCTGTGTACATGCTGTATGTAGCCCATTTCTTGTACAGGCGCCTACCCTTCCTCCACGACAGGCACTTATAGCAGAGGGCACTTCCAAAATTCGGCAATTCGAATGTCCGAATGGCAGATATTCGTCTGAATTTAAATTCGGGCCAAAAACAAATTGCACATGTCTAATAATTAAATAC